ATATCTGTTGAAATGGCTGCTCTTTAAAATTTGTTTGCCAAAGAAAATAGATGTTGAAGCTGGAATTATTTGACAGGCTTTCTGAGTGGTCCCCATCTTTGTGTAATCTGAATGAGGACAAACATGCTTTGTGGTGGGGGGGGGTGCACTAGCATGCCATAATGCATGCTTTGGAATAATCTATAGGGCTGGAGTGCAAGTGGCATGTGTTAAGCTCTTGATGAGTCTAGCAGCTTCTAGAACATTGGTCAAAAATTAGTTTGAGGGACCGGCAGGGATTAAGCTTGCAGTTACATCCTTAGAATTCCCCGATCATTGCCTCGTGATACTACAGGTGGTAGCGACAGCCACTACCTTAAATGGCTTACTTTAAAAAAGCATTTGATTTATCTTGCATGTCCATGGACACAGTAACTCCCGATATATTAGCTTCTGGGGGACAAATGTGAAAATAATCATGGCACTGCTCAAAGCCATCTGGTTAACTTGGTGGAAACAATTCTGCAAGACAAAAAAATTGTCTGATCCAGCAACAGCTTCTTATTTCACAAAAATAAAAAGCAACTGCAAATAATCACCAGGAGTCTAAAACATGCTAATAATACTGTGTAGCAAACTACCATAAATTGTGCCTGCATAGTTTTCCTAAATCTAGTCAAAGCTTGGCTTTTTCATCCTTTTAAAGCAAGAAACATTTTTATGTCCTGTTGTGGCCAATGGATGCTCTTGTTAAACTCGTCAAACCCCAGGCAGAAGACCCTCTGAGGTGGACCTCAGTGTCTGGGCTGAATGATGGGGATGGAGATGCTCCTTCAGGTATACTGGGCTGAGGCCATTTAGGGCTTTAAAGGTCAGCACCAACACTTTGAATTGTGCTCAGAAACATACTGGGAGCCAGTGAAGATCATTTAGGACCAGTGTTATATGGTCCCGGCAGCCACTCCTTGTCAACAGTCTAGCTGCCGCATTTTGGATTAGTTGTAGTTTCGGAGTCCCCTTCAAAGGAGCACATTGCAGTAGTCCCAAGGTGGAGATAACCAGAGCATGAGCCACTCTGGGAAAATGGTGCGCAAGCAGCTAGGGTTCTGCTCGCGCACCAGATGGAGCTGGTAGACAGCTGCCCTGGACCCAGAAGTGACCTGTGCCACCATGGACAGCTGTGAGTCCAAAATGACTCCCAGGCTGCACACCTGGTCCTTCACGGGCACAGTTATCCCATTCAATGCTGGTGGGGAAAACAACTTTGCTACTTGCCACTTGTGTTTGTAATAAATGTGCATCCACAATCCTCTTAAATTGGTCCCCTATAGGGCAGCAGAAGCTGGCCAATGTATTAGCAATGCACTGCTTCAGTATATATCTGTTTCTGTTCATATTTTAAAACAGGTTTTTGTAACAACCATTAGCTATGTGTTTATTTCTGTTCACGCAAGCTTCTGGTGGGCATGGAGTTTCCTACTAGAGCCCACCAGGTCAATTTGCTTTTGTAGGAGAAAGCTACCTTCTACCTTGCAGACCAAAGTGGAAGCAGCTGGCAACCTCGCAAAATCTGATGGGGTTCTATAACACACAACTGGGCTATTCTGCATTACCCATAGATCTGTACATTTGCAATCAGCTGTCAGCAAAAATAAAAACTAGAATGACATAAAAGGACAGTGTGCAGAACTGCACCCAGGACACCCTCTTGCTCCATTTTCATGGCAACAGAAGCTGTAAGAACCTATCACCCACCAACATATGGTAACATTTGTGGAATGGTGCCCAGTACCTAGGATGGAAGCAATTCCCTTTAAAAGCCTCTGAACAGAAATTTAGGGTTGATTCTGTTTTCAGCAGAGGTTCCTAGAGGGCACTGGAGTAGGGCAGAGCAGTACCTCTGCAGGGAGGGTAAGATTCTATACCCACAATCTTCCTCTGTACTTTCCTACCCAATGCTGCAGGGTGCTGCTTGGAAAAGGTATTCAGAGGCACCCAAGAATTGGTTTTTAAAAACTCAGGATGAGAAAATTACCTTTAAAGCTTTGATCATTGTCAGTCTCAGATCAATAGTGACACAGCTTTGCTGGAAAACCTCTCTAGCAAAGATAAGTTCTACCACATGGCAGCAGCATTGATAATGTTTCATCAGCAAGCTCAGGATACTCAGCGGTAATAGAAAGCCAAAATTCAGTTGGCAGCACTTCCAAATTTAATTATCTCTGAGGGTTCTAATGCACAACAATGCAATTGTTTTTTTACAGAAAAAGAAACTGACAATAATTGCAAATGGGTTTCACACACACACACCAACTTCTATTTACTCAGCAGAAACGTGGTGGACAAATTTTCCATGTAGTGAATCCATGTGGCTGATGATGATTTGCTTGATGTTACTTTTGATCTCATCTGCTTTATCTTCAAGTGAAGCAAGAAATTGTGACATACCAAACTCAAACTCTATTTTTCTCATGAAAGCTTAGACTTTGCCTAAATATGTAAATACGTTTTTATCTCTATCTTGTACATTTAAATTCAACTTATTCTGATTACCAAACATGCCAGTGAGGTATGCTATCCATCTGAATTGGCCAAATTATTTGCAAGTCCAGACCTTTTGTTTGAAAGAAATCCATTTACCTCTTGTCTTAGCTCAGGCTCCCTGTAGCATATAACCCCTTAAACACCAACAAACATCTGTGTGACGTAAAAGGTGTAGATATTCATAACTCATTTCCTAGTGTAAGATTTCTAACGTGTTGAATGACCTGGCTTTGATAAAGGCAACAATTTTCACTGAATTGCTAGTACTTCATGAAGCATTAACCTAGCTCTTTTGCTGCCAATGAATGGTTCATGTTGTAGGAAGCAGTGATAAGCTACATTTTTAATTTGCTGTACTGAGCAATTGTTTATATTGCCACTGCTTAAGAGTACTGAAAAGTACTTGGAGCCATGAATCTGAGACTAGCTTTTATTGTGTGCACTTTGCTCCAGACATAGTGTTTGTGCATAGGTTGTCTTTCTTGCTTGAGAACCACTACTTACGCTTCAAATCAAATTGGCACCTTTTTGGGTTACTGCTTCCCATAGCCACCTTTCTTAATAGGTATGTGAAGCCTTCATGTCCATTTCTTCCAGAGGAGGTTGCTGCCCTATCTTAACTAATTCAGGTAGTTTTCATGTAACTGAAGACAGAATACCTTTAGCATTTCTGTAGCATTTCCACTCTACTGTGAAAACTCAAGCACTGACTTGAAATTTGAAGGCTAAAGATTTTTAAATGATCTTTAAAAAACAATATCCCTAGGGGATATGTTAAATCTAACCGTTTAACTCCCTGATTTCCATCAGAGCCATTGTACACAGAGAGGAGGTTTAATTCTTCCTACCCCAGCTACAAACCTAATTGGGGCAGGGCAGGAAATCCTCCTGTAATTACCAAAAGGAGAAAAGCTTCCCTGGGAGCCAATTGGAGCTTCCATCTCAATTACCAACTGGAGTTGGGTGGTGCTTTCTGTCAAGGATTTGTCCAAGAGACAAACGTTCCACATGGATGAGTGGCTGGCAACTTACACTGTGCCGTCTTTCAGGTCAGGATATTCTCCATCTTGCCTGCTGAGAAATGCAGACTGCTACATAGAAGGGGAAGAAATGGAGGCAGTGAGAGATTTTACTTTCTTGGGCTCCATGATCACTGCAGATGGTGACAGCAGCCACAAAATTAAAAGACGCCTGCTTCTTGGGAGAAAAGCAATGACAAACGTAGACAAAAGTAGAGACATCACCTTGCCAACAAAGATCTGTATAGTTAAAGCTATGGTTTTCCCACTAGTGATGTATGGAAGTGAGAGCTGGACCATAAAGAAGGCTGATCGCCGAAGAATTGATGCTTTTGAATTATGGTGCTGGAGGAGACTCTTGAGAGTCCCATGGACTGCAAGAAGATCAAACCTCTCCATTCTTAAGGAAATCAGCCCTGAGTGCTCACTGGAAGGACAGATCGTGAAGCTGAGGCTCCAGTACTTTGGCCACCTCATGAGAAGAGAAGACTCCCTGGAAAAGACCCTGATGTTGGGAAAGATGGAGGGCACAAGGAGAAGGGGACGACAGAGGACGAGATGGTTGGATAGTGTTCTTGAAGCTACCAGCATGAGTTTGACCAAACTGCAGGAGGCAGTGGAAGACAGAAGTGCCTGGCGTGCTCTGGTCCATGGGGTCACGAAGAGTCGGACACGACTAAACGACTAAACAACACATTTGTTTATATTTATTAACTTCCAGTATGCAGAAGCCACATTTCCCCATAGGTGGTTACAAAGCAGCTTACAGAACTATCAATAAAACATTGCTATAAAATAACACAGAGTTTGAAGCAAAATGAAAAGCAGTAACAGGTAAAAAGCACAAGTTCCATAAACAGGCATAATACAACCTACTTAAAATGCCTGCTAGAATAAAAAGGTAAAGGGACCCCTGACCATTAGGTCCAGTCGTGGCCGACTCTGGGGTTGTGCCGCTCATCTCGCTTTATTGGCCGAGGGAGCTGGCGTACAGCTTCTGGGTCATGTGGCCAGCATGACTAAGCCGCTTCTGGCGAACCAGAGCAGCGCACGGAAACGCTGTTTACCTTCCTGCAGGAGCAGTATGTATTTATCTACTTGCACTTTGACATGCTTTCAAACTGCTAGGTTGGCAGGAGCAGGAACCGAGCAACGGGAGCTCACCCTGTCGCGGGGATTCGAACCACCGACCTTCTGATTGGCAAGTCCTAGGTTCTGTGGTTTAACCCACAGCGCCACCCACGTCCCTTCGCCTGCTAGAATAGGAAGGTATTTATCCAGCGCCTGCAATTCAACAGGGAGGGGCCCCATCAGATCTCACCTGGAAAGGAGTAGAAGAAAAGGATCCCTTTTCCACACAATAGTATCTAGCTTTAGCAAGCCTTGTGCTGGGACTTGGTAACAATTGTGTTGGGGTCCTCCACCCCCTTTGGGCCAAGTCACAGTGCTGTCAGGTACGGTAACTTGTTTTTCTTTGCTATCTGAAATCAAACCATATTGGCAAAGGCGCAGTGCTTCGCAAGCACTCATGATCAGATGACCCATTTGCTTACTTTTAATAATGGACAAAATAGTTCTATGAACTGGCCCTTATTTCTCAACAGAGAGACGTGTGTAAGTGGCCCGTTATGGGACATGCATATTGCTGCACCAATCCAAAGCCACAAACTATGATAGACAACTGCTGTTGGATGCACTTTGTTCATGTTTCACAGATGCAGACACAACTGTTTGGGGTTGAAGAACCATCAATCTTGCTGAATTGAAAAAATCTTGCATTCTCTTTTGCAAATGTACATTCACTTTCATTTAGTGGTACACTTTGAAGTGCAGGAGTTCATTATGACAGGTCCCACTGCATCCACCTTGAGTGAAAAAATGCAGGCACTTCCACACACACACACACACAAACACAAACCAAAGAACAACAGTACATTTAACAGCCAATTGGTTATCATCAGCATGCCTACAATCCTGGGAATAATATCCATTGCTTGTAGTAGTGCTGCATAGATTCAATTTTGCATGCACATTGCATCTTAACAAAATATGTTCAGGCAACTGGAATGTAACCTTTAATTAGATGTGCAAGGCAAGTGTTTTAATTTAGAATGCTGGTAAGTAGGAAACCTATTTTAAAAAAAGAAAGATTTGCCTAACCTCTGCTGGATTAAGTGTCTCATTCTCTGGCTTCATCTATGACAAACTGTCACAAACAAAAGTCTCATCATCACCTCATTCACTTGCCAGTACAAGGAAGGTCTTCAATTAATCTTGCATTCCAGCAAAAACATGTGGCTCCTACTCAAGGTCCCGGAGCTGCCCACCCACCCCACCCCCACCCCCCATCATCGGTTATATTTTTAATTCTTCTCCAATCACTCTTCAGTATTACCATCAACTGGAAACCAGAAATATTCAATGATTTTCCTGCCTCTTCTAGCTGGTGTTCTCTCCTGCAGTTCAGCAGGACAAAGTCCACACATCTGAGGATGTCCAGGGTTTGAACTGGGTGCAACAACTCTATGCAAAATCCTGCAGAGAAATAAAAACTCAGCATAATAGTTAATGCAAAAACTCAGTATGTCTATAGTTTCTCTACTGCATGTTATTTTCCCATTTCATTGCTATGTATTTCTTTATGCCTCCTTTTGGTACATGTACACTTTAGGTTTTGCCATACGTCTAGAATTTCCCGGACATATATGGAATACTGCAGTTGGAAGCAGTGTCCAGGCAGAAATTGCTGAAATGTCCGGGAAAATCCAGATGTATGGCAATCTGTGTCAGCAGTGTCGTTATTTTGGCGATTTTACTTAAAAATAGCTCCAATTTTTAAAATTATTATTATTTTGCAAAATTGGCACAAAAGCTCAACAACCGTTCTGTCTGGATTTCTGTCTGAAATATGGCAACCCTGATGTACAGTATATACAAGCAATGATTAGTATGGGAGAAATGAGGGGTAAGAGAAAAAAGGACAAGTAGAGTGTTTGCAATACTAGGCTGGATCAGTCTGTACAAACAGATTTGCTCCCTGTACAAGCAGTGGCGTAGCGTGGGTTGTCAGCACCCGGGGCAAGGCAAGTAATTTGCGCCCCCTAACCCGTGGATTTTAGCACTCGAGTGCAAGCGCGCCCCCCCAAGATGTTGTGCCCAGCCCCCCCTGCACCCCCACACTACGCCACTGCTTCAGGCCCCCCAATAAAACATTTGAGGGGGCCAGTCCCTCAGTTGATGGGCATTGCCAATGTGATCAACTATGCAGGGCGGGGTTTACTTGCCCCCCCCCAATATCATACTGTATTCACGTTGGCACCCCTGATGAACTCAGCGGGGCTTACTTCTGCCCCGCAAGCCTTTGCACCTCCGCGTCTCCTTTCCTCTCTATATGTAAGAGGGTGAAGGTCAGGCTGGCAGCGCAAATAAGGGCCCCGCTGCTGAAGGCCTCGCCCGCCATGACCTCCTGGTTCACGGGCAGGGCAAGAAAGTGCCTTTTCCTTGGGGGGGGGGAGTCTTAAATTTCAAATTATTATTATTATTATTATTATTATTATTATTATTATTATTATTAATATCTAATGTGCGTGGTTTCTCTACCTCCACTGACGACTCGCCACGTGCGAGGAGGAAGGCGGGCTCCCTTCACCTCCCCGTCCCCTCAAGGGAAAGGGAAAACGATGTGAGGAAAAGCGATGCGGGACAGCGAGTGAGGTTCTCCTCAGAGCCTTTTCCCGCCGCCCCCTCGCAAGACAGCCCTGAAGCCGAGCGCGGAGTGAGGGGCGGGGCCCGGCGGAGTCTCGCTGCCCCCAACGCCTCTCGAGGCGGCATGAGGGGCGCCGCGTCAAGGGCGCCCGCGGGCACAGCGGCGGCTCCTGTCAGGGCACGAGGCGGGCCCGGCGCCTCTCCCCCACCCACCCCGTCCGCCCACCCATAGGGAGGGGATGGTGGGCTGGCAAGTGCCTCACAGCAGCAGCACCAGAGAGGGAGAGAAGTCCGCCTCCCGCCGCCTCTTCATCCCCAGCAGCAACTTCCCTGCCCGGCTCCCCACCACCACCGCCTCCTTCTCTCCCTGCTTTGCAGTAGCAGCCGCCGCCACCGCTCCTCCTTTCCTCCCGGGGACGATGCTCTGGCTCCTCAGCGGCAGCTCCCGAGCCGTGTCCCCGCGGCACCTCCGCTCCCCCGGGCTCCCCTTCGCCGCCTGGCTCCTGCTGCACCACCTGGGGGCAGCGCCCATGGCCGGGGCTTCCTCCTTCCCGAGACATGGGGCTCTGCTATAGCCTGCGCCCGAGGCTCTTCGGCGACTCCGGAGGCGGCGAGCGCGCCCCCCCAGATGTTGCGCCCGGTGCGGCCAGCCCCCCCTGCACCCCCCACGCTACGCCACTGTGTACAAGTGAGCAATCACTAGGCTCCCTAGTTTACTCATTGAAAGCAGCAAACAAAAGGAAATGCTTCTTACGATCATCAGAACAAACATTATGGGAAAGTGTGTATCTCTTTAACAAGATGCTGACTTCCCCCTTGACCAGAAGTCAAACTCAGAAGTGCAGCCCTAATCTAGGGGTTCGCAACATAGTGCTCATGGGCACTAGTGTGCCTACCAGTACCTCCTATGGCACCTACAAAAGGTCTCACTAAATATCCCCTAAAAATCCACAATGCATGAGAGAGCTCTTCCTGCTCTCTTCTTTGCAGTGCCTCAGTCTCTCCTACACCAAACACCCACAGTTCATCATATGCCAGGAGAGGAGAGAAGAGTGGAGATGCAAAGAACTGCTATGAACAAGTGCAGCAGTGCTTTATGTAGGTGTCGCGCCCCCCCCCCCCCACCGCCAATTGATAGGGGATGTGCTTGACCACATCATTCTGTGGCCCTGCCTCTTTTTCTACTCTTTTGGCTACGTTATGTCACACCCTATGGCAGCCATTTTGTGTTAATCAGCACAACCCCCCACAGCAGCCATTTTGTGACTTGGGTATGGCATATTCTCAAAACTCCAAATAGCCCCCAAAGTTTGGCAACCCTGCTCTGATTAAGCAGTAGGACTACTGGGACTAGAGACAGACCCAGTGTTCCCAGTGGTCTAGATCCAATTGTGCATAGGTTCTTTTTCAGGTAACTTACTTTTCCTTAAATAATAACAAGTGGGGAAGCCACACTTTCTAAAAAGGCAGTGCCCAGGGAGGGGAGACTTATCTCTGCACTCCCCTCCACAATGAGTGAAAAAAGGTTCCTTTGGATCCTCTGGTCTGGTTTATTCAGGGTTAAAAGTGAGCATATTCACCTATTTCTGGAGAACAATCTCCCCCCCCCCTTTTTTTTAACTGATTGCATTGTATTACAGCTGGTGGGAGAACTGCTTAACACATTCAAAGTGACCTCAGCTTGTTGTCTGTGCTGTCTTCTACCAAGTTAATGCAAAAAGACGGGTGGCAAACCCAAACTAGAAACAGCCTAGTTGTAATACTTTTTCCACCCAACATTATTTTTATGAAGCTGGGAGTATGTTCTGTGACTTTAATTTAAAAAAATCTGCATAGCTGAGATTAAAGATAAATTTTGTTTTTATTCAGTTTACCAAGCGACTATGATAACAAAACTACATTTGGGATAAATTAAGTAAGTGGAGGGGGTAGAGCAAAGGAAAAAAAATAGCCACATTTTTTTACTATGTTTAGCCCTTTTTATGTTGGAAGAAAGCAAAGCCATATACAGTATAAACCTTAATTGGCTCTCCAGGGTACCCGATAAGTTTCCCACTTAACATACAATGGGGTAAGTTGATGCAGTTAAAATTGTTCATTTGACAGCTGATGTTTAGATCAGCCTTCCTCATCCTGGTGCCCTCCAGATATTTTGGAGAGCAGCTGTCATTATCCCTGACCACTGGCTCTGCTGGCCAGGGCTGATGGGAGTTTGGACCCCAAAACATCTGGAGAGTATCAGGTTGGGCAAGCTAGCTCAGGTTAATAAAGCACTGTTGATTTACATAGGCTTGCCATACATCAGGAAAATTCCTGACATGTCCTGGTTTTCGGTTGTAAAAATGGCGTCGTGGAAATTTTGCCGAATCAGCAAAATGTCAGGGGAAACCTGAATGTATGGCAATGTGATGGGAAAAGCAGCTTTTTGAAATATGACAACTCTAATTTACAAAGGCTTTACAGAACAAGAAATAATACATGTTTCTTTGCTGAGGAACACAACATTTAGGCAGGGAACAGCAAATGACAGAGAAAGACGAGCAAAAAGAGCAACAAGTGATAAGTGCAGAGAATTTAGAAGCTACATGAATTTAGGGCTTATCTCAATGAGGACTAAAAGGTGGAGCAAAGGCTCCAAAGCTTGTGTGGTTTTGAGGAAAGATCTGAAGGAAGGAAGAGGAGTGCCACCACACAGGTTTTCTGGGAGGGATTTTCAAGCAAAAGGGGTGATGGAAGGATGTAGTTCCTGGGCTAAAGTGAGTCCCTATAAGGAAGCCACATTGGAGGAGCTCTGTTGGGTTAGATCAAAAGGTCCACCTTGTCCTGTTTTGCACAGCGGCCAACTAAAAATGCCTCTAGGAAACCCCCAAGCAGGACATTAGAGGCAAAATCCCTCTGCTGCTGTAGCTCCCCAGTAATGGTTACTCAACAGCCTACTGCCTCTGAAACTGAATGTTCCATTTATCTTCCATGACTCGTAGCCATTTGGCAGCCTGATCTTCCATGAATTTGCCTCATGCCTTTCTAAAGTCATAAACATAAGTCAGTGACCACCAAGACTAGCTTTAGATGGTCATCTTGTGACATTGTTCTATACATATGTGCTGTGTGAAAATGTGTTTCCTTTCCTCTGTCCTAAATTTTCCAACATTCAGCTTCATTGGATTGCCCTAAGTTCTGGTATTATGAGATTGGGGGGGGCAACAATTTTCTCTGCACCAGGAATATTTTTTTAAATGCTTTTATTTACCAGTACCCCTCACTGAGCCACTTTTTTTGTTAAACTGAAAAGCCCCAAACATGGTAACCTTGTAGAGAAAATGCTCCAGATTCCTGATAATTTTGGTTGCCCTTTTCTGCATCTTTTCCAGTCCTACAATTTCTCCCCCTCCTTTTTTTTTTTTTTTTAAGATGGAGCAGCCAGAATTGTACATGTTATTGTAGCACCCTTACACAAACACTCTCCAACACTACCTGTACATTGAGGCCCTGGGCAATCAGTCCAAGACAATAGGCAGCAACATTTTATTTACTTATTTATACTTTTGTGATGAGGAAAGTGATGGGAAAACACATAGAAAAGTGTGGAATGAGCTCATGATTATAGGTAAGATACAAGCAAGTAAGGATAAATGTTCACTGTCGTATAAACTCCCCACAAACAAATCCGAATGAATGTTCAGTAAAGACTGGATGTAATCCAACATATTCATTAAATGCTATGCAAACTAATCTGGATGCTTAGTAAAGACGTTGCCTGGAAGAGCCCAGAGATTCTCTCACATTGATGGCAATGAACTGGGCAAAAGAAGAGGGTGAGCACTTGCCAGTCAAGGCACAACACAAAGTTGTCTCACAGACAGCTCACAGAGGAATTTGCTCATCTCTCAGGAGCTGCTCACTGCTCCTCCTCCTCTACACTCTCTTTGTTCTTTCCGATTCTCTCTCACATTACTGCTACTTCATTTTTTATCAATTTCTCCTTCAAAGATCTGTAACTACAAAGTTCAAACTAAAAGCCCACAACAGTTGACTAGCTTGGATTTCAAGGATTCCTAATGGATTATTTTAGGAGAAAAATGATTAAAGGAGCAAAAAGCTTTTTGAAGAGCTGAACTCTTATGTGTCTTGATTTTCCTGGGCATGAAATTTTGCTCCCATTTTTATTTTCACAGAGGAGCCAATTTTCTGTTACCTAGTAGGGAGAGGAGGGATGGAAAGAGGTAGACAGTGTTGTCAGAGGATACATGAAAAGCAGAAGTAATGAGATGTGCCTTTCCATCAGTTTATTTCCTGTCTTGAATATGCCAGTAAACATATTAATTTATTACCTGTCAGATCCTCTGCACAGATAGCTCACTGTGAAGTTGGAGGTTAGGAGATGTCAGAGACTATAAAAGTCCTACCTGTCAGTGCTCTTGGCCTTTTCTTCATTGTCAACACCAGGGACTGAAAAACAAACTTGCTCTCCTTCCTGAAACATAGGCAAAAAGCAAGAAATAAGAGCTGCTTTATAAATAAAGGATTGCTTCCACTTCATAGTGATTACTTAAGGTCTTGTTGACATGGCTGAAACCTGTGTGGGGCTGATTCAGAGGGATTACATTGAAAATTTGAGTTTTACCACCTCCTTAAAAAAAGAAAGTGCTCCTGAATTAACAGTGACCTGTGCTTATGCAGCTATTCCTGGTGGGTTTTTACAAATAGAACAATTCTATTTGTATATATCTCAGATATATTTCAGATTACAGCTCATACCCTGGTCTTAGCCTTACTTATTCTATATACTTCAGATATGGGCCAATTAAGAAGTAAGGAATTAATAAAACATTTATTAACAGCAGCTAGAATGGTCATTACCAGAACCTGAAAAACATTGCAAACAGCCATAATGGGAAAGTTGTTGCAAAAACTGAAGGTGGCAAGGAGTCAGAAAAAAACAAGATAATTTTTACATTGTATGGTATGATTTTATTAAATATATAAATGAAACAACACATAGACAAGGAATACCGTAGAAATGGTGTAGATATTATGTATTATAAAATAAGATGTATGTATTTACCCCCCTAGTGACCCATTTGTTAGTCTTGTCATGTTTTATTATTTATGTTTGCACAAAGAAATGATGATAATTGTTTTGTGAATGCTTTGTTACTGATTTTGTAATTAATTTTAAAAAAGGAAAAACTTGTGAGAGTGCACTGCACAAACTGGTTATGGGTCCCTCAAGATTTAAAGGAATAATATTGAGTTGGCTGTTTGCCTGCTCCTGGTATAGACAATATATTATGACTATTGGCCATGTGGCTGGGGCTGATGGGAAATGAAAGGCACCATTTGGGCTACCTAGATATAAAGCTGGAGTTTCAGTCAGGAATCTTTCCCACCTCTATGTAGAGGTATTGCAGATAGAAGTTGTGGTATTTGCTCTACCACTGAGCTACAAGTGGCCCTTCCTCACATGGAGCCTTCATATGGAAAAGGAAGAAGCAAAGCTACTAGGGGCCATTTTGTGTGAGCTAGGTATGTCAAATCAGCTGGAGAGATCCATCTCATTTTTAATATTGATTAAAACAGGGAGAGCTCTGACTTATTTACAATTCTGACAAAGAGCATTATAATCTAATTCTGCTAATTATCAAATATAAGAAAATAGATCATTCTCAAAGTATCTCACAGGTTAATCAGATCACTGATTTCTACAAAATTGCCTCATACCTATCTTGTGTTGTTTTTCTGAGCGAATCCCACGTTAGCACACCCTTCCCCTAACCTTTAATGTTTTTAAAGAATGTAATAGTTAAGCAAGAATAGTTGGTGGTTGCAAGTTGCTGTTGGATACCTAAAAATACCTCCTAGAAGGAGTGCCCTGTGCATGTAAATAAAAAGCTCTTTTGTCTAGTTGCAATTCCATGACAATAAGCTCGTCACAATAGAACAGGAGGCTGCCAAGAGACAAATAATTAGAGCCTTCTCTCAGGAATTTAAAAATATGATTAAAGTGAACCCTACATGCACCATTTCATTTAAAAATTCCAAATGTTATAAATTACCCAATTTCTAACTCCTGTCAGTTTATTTTTGAGTTTTACATGCTGAGCAAATTAATCAGTCAGATTGCCAAAGCTAATTCAATTATGACAGCATGCACGGGCATATCTGGTAAATTTATTCACATCTTGGCTGCCTCTTTCAAAAAATGAGTTGAATCCCACAGCAGAAGATAAACAGATCTTTCCTCCGACGGTAGGAGGTAGGCATGAATGCTACCCACAAAAAATGATTTGCCTGTTTTCTTCCATTTCTAGACTCACATGATACAAAGCTATTCCATCCACTGAATACAACATTCAATGCAAAACACTTCTGGTATTTTGGCATGTCAAGTAAGGAGCATATCCTTCAATTGTCTGCATTAAATTTAGCAATTGGCCAAGCATCTTCCAATACTAAGGGGCTAAGTGACATGTATTACCAACATATTGTTGGTAAATTCTCCACATGTGCCTCTCTGCTAGGCAGAGTGAGAAAGTCTTGGGTTTCTAATTTAGGAACTATTGCTTCTTGTTATGTACTACCAGTAACTATAGAGATACATAGTGCCTTGTCCATTTCGCCACTAAGGGCAGATGCTGAAATTAGAAACAACACTTTGCTTTTTATTTCATTTTTTGTCCTTTATGTGGTGTTAAATAATAAAGCTAAATGTCACACTAAATGCCTTGGACTGTTACACCAGGGCTCCATTTATGTTCTCATAACGCTCTGTACTAATAAGTAAAACTTCTGAGTTCAGTGGGGCTTCCTCCCAAGAAAGTACATACAGAAATGGAACATTAATGCCGAAAATCTAAGGAAGTTGTCCTGCGCCAAAGAATAATCCAATCCTCTCTAGGACGGGAAGAAAAAGCAAATCCATAATTCCAGTTTATCATAGTTTATCGCAATTTAATAAATTTTGGCCCAAGCTCAAGGTTCTCTTTGTTACTTGTGTGCATATGGCACATTACTTTGTCTTTTTAAAAAACAAAAATCAAAGTGAAATTGATCTATAATTAAGTATATTAATTTGCTGTTTGGTGGAGCGTCCCAAGAGGCAGGTGCAGTCGTGATACACCAAGTATTTGGGGTTTTTTACAAAGCATTTTGGAAAGCAAAAGTTGAAGATGAGTGACTGTTAGCTTGATACTTAACAGGCTGTTATTTCCACTAGTCCAATATACTACCACCCAAATTTCATATTTGAAACATGCTTATTCTTGCACATTTGCTTAGTTCATTTATATAAAAAAGAAAAACTAGTCCTGAGCTGTAATCCTGAGCTCTTTGCAGCACTGTTTCATTCTGTACAAGTTTACATGGTGCCATTTCCATCTTGTGACATATGGAACACAGTACTGGTGTTTTCCCCTCTGATCTCAATGGAAGTAAATTCCAAGTTGTTTACTGTTGGTTTTTGTTCTAAGGTGCTTTCAAAGCTCTTCTCTTCCCTTAGCGTACAAAGAGTCCATGTGTTTGGTAAGTTAAAAATAGTTTACTTACAAACTCTTCAAAGGTCAGATTTATGTGTTTTTCCATACAGCAATAAGAAAACACAGGCAGCAAAACTTAGGTTCCAAAGTGGTGAATGTTTCTAAATTATTTGTATAGAAACACAACTACAGTTTGCGTAAGCCATGCAGTCTGAGCTTGGAGCAACTGGTTCAGACCTCTTTGCTTGCCAGAGTTCACATGGTGGTATGAAAGAACAAGGAGTTTTATAATCTTTCCTTACAAGGTGAGGGAGAGTAACCCAGCTAAGCCTGGCAGGACATTTTACTCTATGGTCTTAACCCCTTCATGCATTAATTATAGGAGTCTGCTTATCCCACACTTACCGCAAATCTCTGTGGAGTTCCATCTTCATTTCTTAATACTGTTATGTGCTCATTGCTTTCATTGATACACAAGAAATAGCTCTTCATTTTCACCTGACACTAAGAAGAGAAGGGAAGAATAAATGCTGATGGCAAAGTTTAACCTTATTTGGGGCTGCTTATTCAGAAATACAAAGGGGGGTGGGAGGAGTTTTAGACTACCAGGAAGACACAAAAGACATCCCTCATTTCAATTACTTATTTGTTTTCCTTCAGAAATGTTGTAGTGTGAATCCAGTGGATTTCCACTTGTACGACAGGATATCACCATCTTCTCTGCACCACATACACCCCCAAAATCTGCTTAGAGTCTCCCAAAGGTGCAGGGGGGGTGCAGGGAAGGAGGAGAGGAAGATGGCATCCCATTCCACTCAGACACATACAGTGATGATTCCATAGCTAGGACTGACTGTTCAAAGATAGGTCTGGAAACTGGAGAAGCTAGAGGCTGAAGTCCGTAAGCTTCAGCTCTGTTGACCAGGCAACAGTGAAATCAGAAGGCCAGGCTCTGGCAGTTAGCTATACCAGGGTTCTGCGATGTAAGCACACACAAGGTCAAACAAGACGTGACTTTAAACACAGGATTAGAAAACACGCTTATACAGGCTTTGTGACTCTGATAGCAAAACAAAACCCTGCTGTTGAGGACTCCCTCATTTTAGTCAAGGCTGTAGTAGGGGTTAATCTGTTTCCTTGCATCACTTCCACTCCACCCCACCCCAGCTGCTATTTGCCAGAGGACAGAGGGGAAAGGGATAAACACTCCTCATCCTGAGCCACAGTTTAAATTCAGGCTGGGGCTGCGTGGGGACAGGACCTTGCAGTTGCTTTTTCTAGATAAAGAGCCAGTCCAAGTTCATTTTTTAAACATATATTTAAAGTTGTGTCTTGCCCCCAAGTAGCTCACTGGATCAGTTACCTCAAGCCACGAGGGCTCCCAGAACAAAGCCCAGAGTCATTGACAGAGCCATTCAGATTTCATAATGTATCAAAGTGGTACATACAGCTTTGTTTTGCCTTCTTGATTTTTCTTCCTCTTGGGATTGCCAGAGGTCTGCCATGGCACTATATTTCTTCATCCACATCTCACACTGTTTTTCCTTCTCTTCTATGTCCCATTCTAGCAAGCGCTTCCCCCTTTCCGACTCGTAATGAAGCAAGGTTGCTTTCTCTAAAGCTTCTTCAGCAGCTTCTGTTCTACATCTTTGAGAGATTTCACTGGAATAGGTGGAAGGAAAAATGTTTATTTAGAGGTATAGGCTTCCCCATCCTAAAGGCTTAAACTAGGTAACAATTAAATGAAATGAAATGAATAAAATGAAATGAAATGAAATTGTGAGAGCAGAATAATACTTCTTCGAATTCAATTAAATTTGTTTCTCTACTTAACTCTAAACTCCAAAGACTATTGTAAACAGGCAGATCAAATGACATTTCCAAAAGGTTTTCAGGCTTGGAGAATGTGTGAATGTCACTGCTGAATGAGCCTCATAGTGTTGTTAAGAAGCTGCTCTCAGCGGATTTTAAGAGATCGTAAAGGTAAAGGGACCCCTGACCATTAGGTCCAGTCGTGGCCGACTCTGGGGTTGTGGCGCTCATCTCGCTTTATTGGCCGAGGGAGCCGGCATACAGTTTCCGGGTCATGTGGCCAGCATGACTAAGCCACTTCTGGCGAACCACAGCAGCGCACGGAAACGCCGTTTACCTTCCCGCCAGAGCGATACCTATTTATCTACTTGCACTTTGACGTGCTTTCAAACTGCTAGGTTGGCAGGAGCAGGGACCGAGTAACGGAAGCTCACCCCGTCGCGGGGATTCGAACCGCCAGTCTTCTGATTGGCAAGTCCTAGGCTCTGTGGCTTAACCCACAGCGCCACCCGCGTCCCTTTAAGAGATCATAGTGAGGCTTATATTTGGAGTGTTTAAACCAGGAGTGGGGAACTTGTGGCCTATAGCAATTGGCAGAGTTCAGGAGGTTGGAGTGGTGTTGGTTACTTGGGTTCCCAATGCATAGATCACTGATCACTGTTGGTAACTGACAGGGACTGTGACAAGGCCAGGATGGTGTGGGTGTAGCAGCTGAACCCAAACAAACATTCCTGCTTCTGTGCTTGCACAGTGCTGACCTCTTCACTGCCTCCCTCTCCCTCTCTTGGTTACTGGCAGCAACCTCTGCATTGGGAAGTCAGGCAAGCAATACTGTCCCAATTCTCTACACCCCCACTAGCTGCAACTGCTTATGGCCCCTCCAGATGTTGTTGGACTACAACTCCCAATATCCCTGACCATTGGCCATGCTGGCTTGGGCTGATGGGAGTTGGACTTCAACAAGCACACACCCAGAGGGCCACAGATGTGCCATCCTTGGTTCAAAGCTATATACTTTACTATATTTATCCCAATTTTAAGACAACTAAGGATGAAGGGGATGAATATTTCACAAAATGAGAGGTAGCATATTATACAGAGACTACAAAATGGGGTTAGGTATAAAATTAAATGAATAAACAATCATACACCATTGTCAAGATTGGGAACATCTCTGTGCAATAGACAAATATTTATCAGGAAAGGAGCAACTGTTTTCTGGGATGGGAAAGAGCCTGTAAAAAAAGTGGGTGGGGTGGGTGTGTCTCAATTAAAACCTTACCTTTCTTTACTCTTCAAATTCTCCTCTAGTGTTCCTTTCAGTTTCTGCTTTAGTTCATTCCTTTCGTGCTCCAAATATCGTTTTTCCTCACGGATGACTTCCCTCTCCATTGTTATTCTCTCTAGTTTCATCTGACTTTCAAAGTGGCTCTTTTCCACTTGTGCTAACAGCTGCTGCATTTCGGTTAACTGAAAGAAACAAATCAGAAAAACATGTTTTCCCCTCTCTAAGGCAGAAAGTTGCCGTGACAGCCAACCCATAGAGGTTTTAACACCTATAAAAACAAAGGCAAAGATAAGAGTTTGAAAGAAGAAAAATAGCGTGGAAGCCACTGCCTGAGGCGAATGATTCACATTGCTTCATGCAAAGTTTGGCCCTGTGCAGTAAGAGATTTATTCTACTACATCACTGTAGGCCAGCCTTTCTCAGCCTTGGGTCCCCAGATGTTGTTGGACTACAACTCTCACCATTCCTAGCTAGCATGACCAGTGATTAGGAATGATGCAAGCTGTAGCATAACATCATCTGGGGACCCAAGATTGAGAAAGGCTGACGTAGGCAAAGGCGATATTTTGATAGGCTTGCTCTTATACATTCTACCCTGACAGATATGGGATCCCGACAACTGGTAGTTAATTCAGGGTGCAAGCATGTGATCTAAGGCTCATACCTTTCTCTTCAGCTGCTGAGTTTCTTCTTTTAAGCTGATGTTCTCCAGTTGAACTGCTTCTTGCTGCTCCCGACACAACTTTTCCTGGGCTTCAGCCTCCACTTGGCCTTTCTCAGCTTCTGCCTGAGCCAGAGAGGCCTCCTCCACAAGCTTGGAGTATTTTGTCGCTGTCTGCTGAGAGGCATTAAGCTTCTGCTTCAGCTGATGAGCAAAAGAACATGTGAATACAGTATTAGAAAGGGGTTTCTTATTCCACAGTCACTGATAAAACTCATGCCCCTTTGAGAATGGCCCCTCTAATATTTCAGGGGTGGCGGAGAGAGGGAATTGTTGCTACATACTATCTGATGTCAGCAACACTTTACAGAGTGCAAGAAAATAGGTCAGTGCCCTGAGGAGATTACAATCTAAAATTTGTCACAGCGGGGAAACAAAGAAGCCATTGCAGTTTTCACTTGCATGTGCTTAGATCAAATTTCAGATTCAGAAAGGTATGGGATCTAGGGAGTGTGCCAAAAGCTTTCCAGAATAGTTTGGATCTGCCGAACTATTTACGCCATATATTGAAAGCACTCTTATACCACTTTGACAGTTATAGCTTTCCCCAAAGAATTTTGGGAACTGTTAAGGGTGCTGGGAGCAGGAGCTCTGTGAAGGGTCTCCTCACAACTCTCACAAGGGGCTTATGATTTAAAGCCTCCTGCAGTTTTTCAACATATATAGATAGGTATTTTTAAAATATGTCAACTTTTTATTCCTTTCATTTTTGCTTAAAAGTTTTTAGTATTGTCACAATGCGCAAACACCCACAGAAATTAAACCTGTATTGTTTTGTTTTTTTTACAGCCCCTCATTCTTTTAGTGCCTGATCATAGCAAACCTGCTAAGAGTTGTTAGCAACAAATTCTCTGCCAGTAGGTTTTCTCGCCTGATTTATTTTCACTTTGTTTCTCCTTACACTGAGAAAAGTGTAATGTTCTACAAAGGGCAGAAACTTTGGCAGACCTTGAATATAGCTTTCCTGCCAAAATATTGAATCTGACCCAGCCAGACATAAACTACCCATACAATATTCATCAGTAACGTTCACACTGGCAACCTCTCTGTAATCAAAGAAGAGGAATCAGGGTTTCCTTTTCAAAAAACATAAGCAGTTCATAATGCTTCTTCACAATATTCTTCTTCTTTCTCTCTGATGAAAAAGATTACTTTAAAGTTAACATAGATCAATATTTTAAGTCAAATGGAAAACTGCATTTTCGTGTTTGTGTGGTGGCAAGCCCTTTTTACTCAATACGTTGAGCAATTAACCTCCACAATACCAGTCACGTCCCACTGGTTTCAAATCTTCTTTTCTGTATTCATATCTTAATTCATAAAAAAAGGGGGGAGAACTGAGACTGCACGCCTATGGATGAGCCTTTGGCCTGATTCAGCAGGCTCTTCTTATAAATGCTTACCTGGAAGTAATTTCATTAAGCTTAATGGGATGCACTTCTGAGTAGGCATGTATAGGATGGCTCCCCTAAAAGACTTGGATTAAATGCTTTATCCTGGATATTGAGATTCTGATGTCTGTATCTCAGAGTCAAGCTCATTTTGAAAGGATTAAGGATAAAGCTGATGTTCAATGACTCAAGTTCACCATACACATATACTTGCACAACTAGTGGCCTTGAGAGTCCCATGGACTGCAAGAAGATCAAACCTGTCCATTCTTAAGGAAATCAGCCCTGAGTGCTCACTGGAAGGACAGATCCTGAAGCTGAGACTACAATACTTTGGCCACCTCATGAGAAGAAAAGACTCCCTGAAAAATACCCTGATGTTGGGAAAGACTGAGGGCACAAGGAGAAGGGGACAACAGAGGACGAGATGACTGGACAGTGTTCTCAAAGCTACCAGCATGAGTTTGACCAAACTGCGGGAGGCAGTGGAAGACAGAAGTGCCTGGCATGCTCTGGTCCATGGGGTCACGAACCCCTTCATGGATTGCCGTGGCGAAGGGGCTTGAATAACTCAGAGAAGCTATGAACTATGCCGAACAGTGGCCTAGTTGGTGGATAGAAATTTACACTCCTATTTATACCTGCAAGTTGTAAGGGAAACCACAACCCACACCCACACTCTGCTGTACCTCCTGGGATGTGCACCTGAGTATGAACATGCAATCTCTGCGCACATTTCTTGACCTAGAAGAATTACCAAGCACAGATCTCTATTTTTGGATTGGGCGGTTTTGCTTTTAGGTGTATACTTTTAAAAATGTAATTTTTGTGTGTGTGAAGCAGCCCATGGAGCCAGCTGTGAAAAAGTATTTAGTTTACAGTGCATTCCTAACCATGTCTACTCAGAAGTTACTCTTATTTAATTCAACAGAGCTTAAACCCCACAGGGAAGTGGGGCTACGATTACAGCCATAGTTGCCACTGCATTGCAGAAGTGGAGTTCAAGCCTTGCTTTTAGGTCCAATTGCTTCTTATAGTGAGATTTGTAGTGGAGCTGATCAAAATGTTTTCAGCTTGTAGTTTGGAGGTAATTTTACTGGAGAAAATATAATTTAAGTCACAAGTTGTACCTGATGTTTAATTATGAACAACAACAGCATAATACTTTCTAATGGTTAATTTTTTTTTTTAAATAGCTACGTCATTTCCTCTAATTTCACAGCAGGGGAAGTTTTCTCTATTCTTTAAAGGGAACTACATTATGTCAAGTAATGTTGGTAAAAAAAACAGGAGAAAAGAGCTCAGTGGTGGTTTCATACCTCTTTAACTAGTGTTTGCAGTCCATGGTTTATATTTCTGAGATTTCTCATGCCCAGCTCGCTTTCCGATTTCATAAAAATTCTTTCCAAACGCAGCTCATTTGACAAGCATTTGTTCTGTTTCTTCAGGTCCTCGCATTCCTGATGACATGCAGATAGTTTTTGTCTTAATATCATTCTGGATAATTTCAGCTCATAAGATTTATTGCAGCAATTTCTCTAAATTGAACAATTTTGAAACTGTTCCTATGTGAATCTGTTAGCTTAAGGTATGTCTGCCATGGCTGTGTGGGTGGGTGGGGGAGTTCAACACACTTCTCCAAGCACACAAATAATCTTTCAAGCGAAAGAAAAGCATGCTGAGCAATAATCTATCTTTAAAACATGTAGTGTTACAGCAGAAAGAGGTTAAAGGAATTGTACTGGCCATGTGCATCTTAGACCGAGCACGGAACCAACAGTTAGCAAACAAAAAGGACATGCCGTTTGCTTCTTAGAGGGGCTGCAATCTCATTCAGGTAAACTACATGGACCAGATGACCTTCTGCCAATCAGATTCTGAATTAGTTTTGTGCACTCACTCACAGCGAGGCTGCAGATAAAAAGGTAAAAGGTAAAGGACCCCTGGACAGTTAAGTCCAGTCAAAGGCGACTATGGGGTTGCGGCGCGCATCCCGCTTTCAGGCCGAGGGAGCATTATTATTGAAAAACACAAGGCCTTAACACAGGCATTTAGCCCATGCTTTCCTGTTCATATAAATATCTTTTTTGTTTTGTGGATATAAGAGCAAAAAATATTCTGAATACATCTCATGGAAAGCCCAGTTCACAGGTGGAAGTCCTTGCTGGTTAGCTAAATCCCACCCATTAGAACAATCTAGATACAGATAAGCAATAAGAGTCTCATAGATTATGGAAGACTCTGAACAATCTAAGAATGAATAAGCAGAAACAGCTGACTTTGCTAGGAGTGTTACTCATTTCCAATACAACATAACAAAAGAAAACTGATTCTTGCTCGAGTAATAGAACATTCCTGTCTCTAATAACTTTAAAGCAAAAGAGAATTATGATAACATTCAATCTATTACGGAGCTAGGATGGAAACTCTTTTCTCCAAGATCTATCCTTCCAGCCCAGAAATGGCATCCTTGCATTCTTATAAAATAACTGAAATAAACGAAAATCTGCCCTTATTCCCTTATGTGGGACACAAGAGTCCTTATAGAGTCCATCGGTCGGAGGAAAAAAAACAGAGGCCAACCAGAGAATATTGAGAAGCAAAGCGGTTTGTAAGCCTGATCTTTATTGAACTGTTGCAACAGGGTGCCCCCTTCACACACAGGAGGAGGAGGACCCAGAACCAAGGTGTGTCCGCCCTTATATAGACATTTTAAATTGCCCACCTTGGAGTCACCCACAGAAACATCATACCTGCATCACAGAAAGGGCAGGCTAAAGCAGAAATCTGAGTGGATTGTTTACCTCCTGTCTGGCAAGATACCCTGGGGAGCCTGGCAAGTCTTTTGTAATGATAAATACTTAGTTCCTGAGCCAGATCACAGGCTCACCCTATTCATACACAGATATACCCTTAAGACAGGATTTGTGAAGGAAAAGACAATGGGGAGGCTCCTCCATTTGACCTTGCAGAGAAAACACCTGGTCAGCCTGGGAGTCAAAATGGCTCCATGGCTGCTCTCCTGTGCAGCTTCAGACATGTGGCCTATATATCTATGTACGTGTTTGTTTGGTACATTTATGAACCTTTATTATATACATAAGACCTTAATTTATTTATTTCGTAAATTTCATAACGATTACTTATAAAAATAGCGAGATTATTTTCACCATTTAGAAACCACGATACTAAAAGTCAAGTTTTAAAAGTAATTTTTACTTATGTCTCAAAATTACACATTGCCCTGTGTTTTGAGGCATGTCACTTTAGCACACAAATAGCCACTGACCTTCCTTTTTCTCACAAGTTCTCCTTGCAGACGGTTGATGTGAGCAACAGAGCCTCCTTGGATCACAGCACTGGTTGGGCGAATCCGACAAACAGGCCTCGCCCCACGACACAGATTGGTGTGATGATCCCCAAAAGATATGGTAGAAAGGGGAGATTTTCCAGTAAGCCCGTCAAGACTCGGCTTGCCATTAGTAAAGGATGTCGTGACACCAGCACTGCTGCCATCGATAGCGGAAATGCCTTTGCCGCCAGCTGCATTTTCCAGCAGAGATGGTTTCGTCGACAGATTGGCCCTGTGCGGGTCTCTCTGGGATAATGTCTTTTGTGGCATATTTGAGAAGCGTTTCCTGGAAATCTGTAGAACTGCTGAGAGTTCCAGTTCTACACTTTCTGGCTAAATAGCTGCTACCTCTTGCTTATCTGGTCAAAAACAGCCCTTCTACCAACTACTTGGGAGAGATAATGAAGATTGCAAGGCTAGTGTGAAAAAAGGCCATCAACTAAAGGTATCACCTGGCATCAATTATTAAACTGTTACTGGAGCCCAGAATGAAAGGAGCAGAAATAGAAGCTTCAGACCAGGGATGCAAACAAAGATTTGAACTCAGACGTGCCAGGTAGTGTAAGCTGCAAGAATCTGGGCTTTTATTTCTTCAGTTAATTGATTAATTCAGTGTTTCCCAAACGTTTTTGGGCAACGGCACACCTGTTTACCGGAAAAAAATCTCGCGGCACACCACCATTAAAGCCCCGCCCCGTGACGTCAGCGCGCAGCGTCACGCCGGGAGGGACGCACAAAAGTGAAAGTTTTTTCCCTTCCCCTTGCCGGGGTGGGAGGAGGCAGCAGAGCGAGGGACTGAGGGACGGCGGCAGCTGAGGCGGCGGCGATAGCGGGCGGAGGAGGAGCCGTCGCCGGGAGTTGCTGCTGCTGCTGTTGCTGCTGCTGCCCGGACATGCCGGCCTCCTCCTCCTCCGCTGTCTCGCAAGCAACCCACCCTCCCCCCGCTTCCCCAGACCGTCTCCCCCCCACCGCCGTGTCCCCTACCTGTGCTGCAGCCCCACTAGCCCCAGCGTGATCACATGGGGCACGTCCAGCTCCGTGGGCCACAGGCCGGAGGCGATACACCCGAACACGCCGCACTCCTCCCGAATCCCCAGCTCCTCGAATTCCATGGTGCCCGAGCGAACACGTGTTGTTGTCAGCGCAGCTGCTTCTGTTATTGCCGCTGCTGCCTCCTGCCGCCGCCGCCGCCTGGGTTTGAGGGGGGGGGCGGAGGAGGAGGAGAAGGAGGCGGCGGCCTCAGAGGCGCGAGTTCCTCTCCGCGCCCACCCCTTGCGCCCGCCTCATTTACATGCATACATTACGAAGGGGCGAAATTCCCCGCCTCGGGGCTGCTCCGCGTGGTGGAGTTGGTTTCCCCACCCCAGAGGAGCAGAGCAAGAGAGGTCGCCTTCGGGGCGGGGGGGGCTACTTTGTATCTGCCTTTGGACACAAGTTAGCTCCCGCTCGCTCTTTCTCTCTCCCCACAAGTTAACTTTGTTTCCCTCTCTCTTTCTCTCCGCGCGCTTCTGAGAGCGAGTTTTGCCCAGTGGCTCCGAGAGTGTAAACGGCTGGCTGAAGTGCTGAGGAGACCGCGAAGGGCGGAGGGAGCTGGGCTTTGCGCGCGACGGAAGGGGTTATTCCCCCCCCCCTTATGGAAACGGGGTTTGAGGGAATAAGGGGTAGGGAGGAGACTTCGGTTTTTGCGCGACTGAGCAGGGGAAGGGGGCGTCGGCGGGCGCTCGCCTCAGATTGGAGAAACGCTACCAAAGGGTTGTGAGCGGGGGGGGGGGTGTTAAAAACATCCCTCCCTCCGTGGGTGGAGGAAAGGGGGCTGGGAGGCAGGATGTGGCCCCGGCGGAGAGTTTTAGGTGGCCCAACCCCTTCCCTTTCCCAATGAGGTGGAAGCATTGGCGGGTTTCTGCAACCGCGCCCCGCCCCCTTCCGCCGTCCGTGCCCCCCCTCCCTTCGTACGCAGCCCCAAAAGTGCCTCCGGACTCCGAACGCGCTTCTTTTTCGGGTCGCTTCCCTCTCGCGCGCTGCTCACTTGGTTTTGTTCTCTCCTAGGCGCCCGACTCGCCCGCCTCCCTCCCACGGCACACCAGCCGGTGTCTCACGGCACACTAGTGTGCCGCGGAACACCGGTTGGGAAACACTGGATTAATTGACTAAAACATCAGTCAATGGCAGGAACCAATTGTTGAAGTCAAAACTGAATTCCCAAGACTAGAAGTTAAAGCACACATTCTTTTCGGAGGCGATTTTAGATCTGAAGTGTTACAGTAATAAAAAGGGAAATGTTTTACATTCGTTCTAGCTATGAATGACAACTTTCATGTACTAAACTGCAAGCTCTTTCAGACTCCTTTCAGTACCTCACAAAGGTATCTCTGTATTGATGTTTTGGACAGATAATCCTATACACATCTGCTCAGAAGTCCCATTGACTTCAATTGGATTTACTCCCAGGTAAGTGGTATAGGACTGTAGTAGCCTAAATTGGTTACAAAGCAGAAAACTAATCAGCTGAACATTCTGTAATTAATGGATAGACCCAATAAGCATATTAATATCAACTATTTCTTGGCTTTCCCCTCAGATGCCGGTTGTCTTCATGTTTTAGCTTTTCAAAAATTCCATCTCAATCTTTATGGTTTAAGATTGTCCCCATGATTGCAGTTGAATAGTAAAAGTTTTATGTAATTCACAAATTGTGAGGTGAAAATTATGTTGCCTTTTCCCCTACAAAGCACATCATCCTCTATCATTTCCCCATATAGTTTAGTTTGCTATTCTATAAACAAAGATGGGAAGAGACTCTTAATTGAGTCAATAGTACAGGGCATATCATAGTAATGAAAGCTTTTGGTCAATTTACACATCATGCAGCTCTTGGGAGTCTTTATCTTCAGACTGGATGGGAGATTTAACTTATTTCACAGGGCGTACTCTGTTCTGATCCAACCCATCATGTTATCAATGTTTCTTAAGGAATCAGAGACCTCAGCCATTGTTTTGCACAGAACCTAGCACTAATTTAGAGCAGGGATGGGGAATTTGTGGCCTTCCAGATTTTGTTGGATTCCATCTACCACCATCGTTGGCTCTGCTGGTTGGGGCTGATGTGAGTTAGAAGTCCATTAACATATGAAGGGCCATATGTTCCATGCCACCATTTTAGTGGGGCACATAATCCTTCTCACATAACTGACTTGGTCAGGGCTGTATGAGGGCACCCAGCAACCAATATAAAAAGCAGTAGGGTTTATAGACAGGTGTGTACGTTTGCTCCAAGTATTTATAGAATGAGTTTAGCAAGCTGAGCCAAGCTTGCTAAATTGCCTCTTGTCCATCATCTTATTCTCTATTACATTTAGAAGACCCACTCATGGGGTCCATTTGACAACCTGCAAAAGCAGCCACAATTAAATGAAACAAGCAACCATTAAACACACACAAAAATAACTACTGGTAATTCTGCCCTGTTTTTGTAAAAAGTAGCCATCTACCATATGTCACTGGCATTTTCTCGGCATGGCCCTCAAGCTATCTATAGAAAATTGAGGACAAGCTACATAAAATCTAGCAATTATTCTATTTGTTTCTAGCATAGCAACTGTCTCCCCTTTTTTGGCAGGAAATCAGACGTGCCTACATTTCATATGGAGCTCCAGCACATGAGAAGTCAACAAGATTATAATCAAGGTATTAGGCAATCCAACACTTGAAAAACCTTGAAGTTTCTCAAGGAAGGAATGCACACACAGATAACTCAGAAGCTGTCTACGTGAACAAATGGAAAACTATTTTCTCATAGTATCTTTTGAAAGTTTTCCATAGCTTATAGTGGTCCTTCCTTTGGGAAACAAAAGTCCTTGAGAAAATATTACACCCTGAGCCTTGGTGGCATCCCCAAGTACACCACTTGTTGGTTTCTTCCATGTAAGTCCGGGTGGGAACCTGTGGCCTGCCAGATGTTGGTAGACTCCCAACTCCCATCATTTCTGACACTTGGGACATGCTGGCTGGTGGTGTTGAGAACTGGAGTCCAAGAACATCTGGAGGGTCACAGGTTCCTTGTCCCAGATCAAATTCTATGGGGGGGGGGAAATAAACTATTAAACTTTATGACAGCCAGAGGTGGTTTAGAAGCAAAATGTTACCATGGCTGGAGCAAAGCCCAAACTCTTCCTGGTCTTTTAGCATGTGCATACAATGTGCCCTACCAAAATAATGGCTTCTATCTCTCTGCTCCTCCCTAGTGAAGTTTTGAGACGGTAAACTTGGGGTCACAGAGTTTAATTCTCCTTCACATCCACACAATCCTCCACACAGAAGACTAGCAAGTTGGGGAAGCTAGGCTAAAAACCTCCTCAATATGTCATGTTTCCCCCAATATGTTAGGGATTAGTTATTTGGGACTCGGGATGAAGCCATGTAAGCCCTTACACCTGCAACAGTCCGGACCAGCTTTTTCCATCGTGGTACCATCATTCAATTCAAAAATGCACAAGGGCCTGGGGGTTAAGCCAGTCATTTATAACCTTCCATGCAGATCTTAAACCCTAATTTGATAAAGCCTAAACTCTGTTACTCTTTAACAACGGTACACATTTCCCTCCTGGGTTGTCTCTGCAGGCCAACTCAAGGAACTTCCACCCATTAGGTACTGTAATTAGGGAAATATAGCAAGATAAGCAAAACAGATATGCAGGCCCCTCCCTTAAAGGCCAATATAGCAGATAAAGAATGAGTAAGAATGAGCAATAGATTTTGGCCACATTAACAGACTGAACTTAGTACCAGCTCTTTTTACAATGAACCTAGAGACCCCCCACAAAGAGTTTGGTAGGATCAAGTGATGATGTAGCCCCACCTTGAAGTGTCTCCTCCCCTTTGCTTCTTCAAATTAGATCTATTGAAAGCTACCACATAGACTCCTCACACACAAAGCATGTCCAAACTGGCCATACCATGGGCAGCTCCCAAATCATTCCAGTTCAGTGAGGCAGGGAACAAAGTGATGATATCACAATTGTTTTTAACTGAGCATTTATCAGTCTTCTTCTTGCCTGACTCATTTACTCAGATCGCATCCCCATGTTTTGCCTTGCTGTCACTGGACTGGAAATTCATTTCATGAATCATAGGAGTTGGACATTTGGAAACAGAATAGATCAGTTTCCCACGCTGTTACTCAGCTCTGCTAGCAGCTTCTTAGCAGTGAAAGTGACTTGCAATATGTAGGTGGGGAGATTGTGTGGATAACCACCTAGCTCTTTTAAACAAATAGAATTTCATGGGTGGGAGGGACCACACACTTCAGGTTCTCACACTGTAAGGCAGCCTATAAGCCGCCCAGGGTAGTGGGAGAAACCCAGCCAGATGGGTGGGGTGTAAATAATAAATATTATTATTATTATTATTAGCAGCCAACCTGGTGCCTTCCCCAAGTTTAGGAGGACAGGTGGTTGGGGAAGGTTGCTATAAGGAACAGGCTCTAACATTTTCATTCCAAATTATAATCATTTGCTTTAGAAAAACTTCAGTAGAGACTGTGCAATTCCACTAAAAGCGGACATAGTTTTCTTTAGGAAGGTTAAAGTTTTTCTATAAACGGTTTGATAAAAAGCGTTTTTCTTCAGAAACATTAATACTACCCACATTAGTGAAAAACAAATTTATGAAGTGTAACATTGCTTTAGTACTTTAAAAAAGATACACTAAGTGATGTCTATCTTGAAATCAAATGAGTATTATAGAAGCAATTGTATCCCAGTGACTACTGAGACTGCTACACAGGAATGAGGAAAAACAGTTGCTTTTTTGAATAGGTAGCACTAGAACTTCAACAACAAATGGATATTCTTTGTTCTAGGGCCCATGAAACAGATATGCTCAGAATGAAAATTCAATGGTGAAGTGTTGTATTCTTCTCCATCATCTGTACTGACCCAAAATTATAGGGCAAAGTGAGAAGGTTCCTAAAAATGACAGATCAAAGATTTCACATGGACACTGTTCCTTCCAAAATTGTCTAGACACCCGATGTGTGAGAACAGTTAATGAAATGCACCTTAAGGATAGCTTTTCCAAGTCTGTAGAATTCTACAGAGAATTATAAATTAAACATACAGTATGCCAAGTTCAACAATTCAAGAGTACTGGAATATGAACTAACGAAACAATATTAAGAACAGTAGTAAGAGACTCTGAACCAGATGGCAGCAACAGCTTTTATTAGATGCCATAAACAGATCTTTTCACTCTAAGGAGGCCTCTTAATTTATCATTTCTTTAAAAACTGCCAAGTCTCAAATCTGACATTCATCTATGTTTCCATAGCATTATTTTTATACATTTTGTTCAATTTTAGGCATTTTGCTACAGCACATACGTACTTTAACAAAACGTAAAACTATACTTTATAAGAGCTACATAACCTGAAGGACTACTCTGTAAACCCAAACATTTTTTATATCACTTGAGAAATTCATGGGAGTTCTACCAAAATCCCTTTTCACATATATAATTTTGAAAAAGTACACTTGATCAGACTAGGCAAGACAGCATGAGCTACAGCCTTCCACTCAGTTAAATTTGCTTAAGTACCATTTGTTCCAGAAGGTCTTAAGCAAACATATCTGGATGCAGGATAACTATCTTGGTATTTTGTTTCTTCAGATCTTATGTGCACTCTGATAAAGTAAGCTTCTTAACCCCCAATACAGCACATTGACCTCCAAGTACAGAATGCAAGTAGATACTGTAGATGAACCCTGGCAAGTGTATAGTTCAGTAGAAAAAATGTTATAGGAAATGTTTCAGCTTTTTTTTTAATATATACTTTTCCCTAAAACATAGCTGTCCAGGTTTTTAAATCACAGTTTTCAAATATAAAATATGGATACCCTCCTCTTCCCCCCCCCTCTTGGACCAAAATATATTTACAAAGCAGTTAATAAAACAGGTTGCAACTGAAATCTAATCACTGTCATCTGATCCGCCGTACGAGCCGCGTTCAGATCCTTCATTGTTGGATGCCTCTGGCTCAGACTCGTTACCTGAGCCCCCATGATCAGATGCCCTGTCAGAATCTCTGTCAGAATCAGCACTGCGAGAAGCTGGGCGAGATTCATTCTCAGAGCCACCTGAGTGGCTTCTCCCTGACTGCACAGACGGACTTCTCCCTGAGCGCACAGACGGACTTCTCCCCGAGCGCACAGACGGACTTCTCCCTGAGCGCACAGATTCGTTGTCAGACTGTTCAGATTCGGATCGCCTCCTCTTTCTTGCTGACCCATCACTGTCTGAATCCTCATCAGAAGGGCGGGCGCTGGATCGCCTGGGACTGCCCCCTTCGCTGCCAGACTTATTGCTATTGTCCGAATCACTGTCAGACATGACGCGCTTGTTGCGTGGTTGCTCAGCATCATCGGAATCACTGTTGCTGTTCCTGGCATTCCTGTTCAAGAGCAGAAGGCAATGCAGTAAGGCAAACATCCCAAGTGAAACGATAAACTTTGTACTAAGGGCTGTGCTCAAAAAGCTCCCAAAATTCCGCACCAAAGTAATATAAACCCTGTGACAAGTTCAAGTCTGCAACATGCAAATGAAGCCTGAATCTCTTCTAGTTTATTCTACCTCTTTTTGCTACTCTGTGCCATCTATTGCAGTTTTATTAATCTCAGAGAAGGGGCATGGAGCTACACAGAGTTCTGAAGCCCTGCCCCATGGACACCTTGTCACTTCTGACACTGCTGAAATGTTAGCAATCATTCTGCCACGTTCCTGACCCCTAACAGATCTTTGCAATGAAAAGATTGCTTTGTCTTGATTTAATGAAAGTTGGGAAATGTGCAGGAAATGCAATTCTGGGGAAAATACAATGCCATTTTGTGTTTTCCACACTCTCTACAAAGTCACAGCCACTGTGGCCCAATTAAAGGTTCACAAAGTATGTTTGACCCCCACAAACCCATGTAGGAAATTGGAGGAGATAGAACCTGCAAGCTGCAAGTATGCACCAATAGTTAAGAGTACCAAACATTACATACGCAGGATACAGTGATGTGGAATCACAACATTATGTACACATTTACTTAATGAGTCTTCATCAATAGGCCCAATTCGCATATCAAAGTAAACCATAGTTAATAGGTTACCATGAATTAAACCGATCTGGACTGTGGCTCCTCATGTGTGCTCGGACTAAACAAACCACACTCCCAGAATTAGAAGTGCATTGATGATGATTACTTTGTACAAGGGTCAAAAAACACTATTTCTAGGATCATAAACACTATGTACCCATCATCAGCAATCTTGAGCTTATCTTCATCAGATGAGTCTTCGCTTGATGAAATGATGGCTTTAGATTTGATTTTACCCTTCATTGAAGGAGGCAGTCGTTCTGGCTTTGGCTATAACAACAAAAAAGTGTTAAAAGATTAAAAAGAAAACCTGACATTCAACTATTATACTTTCATTAGCCCCAGCCATATGGCCAATGTTGAGGAATAATGGAAGCTGTAGCCTGGAAACACCTGGATGGCAACAGGTTCTATATCCCTGTATTAGATGGCTGTGGGGTGATGGCTGTATCAGCTACCTCTTCTAATTATATGGCAGACAATCACACAAAAGCAATTAAAAAAGACCAAGTTTAAGAAAATCTGAATTACAATACAGAATGTCAGTAGACTACGACTGAATTTAGATGTAACCAATCAGGCATGTTGTTACATGCCCTGGCCTTGTGTGCTCCGTCCCTTGCATATGAAGGAAAGAAGTCTGAAACTTCTATTCTATGTTGATAACTGCTATTTCCAGTTCTGTTTTGTATATGAGTAACTGTGGTATGTTTAAACCACAGAATTAAGCCAGAATGTCAAACCAGAATCCTGGTTTGGTCAATTATTTCCAAAGCTTAGAAGTATAATTAATCTTGTTACCTTTGATCCCAAATTACTGCAATTCCGCTAAACCAAAACACCAATTAATGATTTACTTATTTATTAATTTTTTTAAAAAACATACTGCTTTTTTCTTCTCTGTCTTTGCTGGGCGACGTTTTTTAGGTCTGGGTGCACTGTCATTTTCATCATCATCAGTACCATCACCTGCCTTTTGGGGTCTTTGGAGAAAAACACAAGGCACATATAAACACAAAGTGCAATTCAATTCAGTCTTATAACTATAGTACAGTGGTGCCTCGCAAGACGAAATTAATTCGTTCCGCAAATCTCTTCGTCTTGCGAGTTTTTCGTCTTGCGATGCACGGTTTCCCATAGGAATGCATTGAAAATCAATTAATGCGTTCCTAGGGAAACCGCCTTCAGACCAGGTCCGGGGACAGTCTGTCCCCCGACCTCTTCTGAAGGCTGGGGGGGGGACAAGGGCTTTTCTTTCCACCCCCAGCATTTTAAAAAACCCCGGGACAGCGGAGGACGTCTCCGCTGTCCGGGGCGATCTTAAAATGCTGACGGGCGGCATTTTAAAATCGCCCGGGACAGCGGAGGACTTCTCCGCTGTCCGGGGCGATTTAAAAGCCCCTGGGAAGGCAGGCAGGGGGGACAAAGACTTTCGCCCCCGCCAGCCTTCAGAAGAGGTCCTGGACCTCTTCTGAAGGCTGGCGGGGGCGAAAGTCTTTGCTCCCCCCCGCCTGCCTTCAAAAGCTGACCGGCCCAGGCTTCGCGGACCTCTCCACAAGCAGCGGCAGCACTGCCGCTGCTTGCGGACAGGTGCCAGCATGCCGAAGCCTGGGCGCGCCGAGATCAGCGCGCCCAGGCTTCCCGCCCCGCCGCCCGGGATCGGGGCATCGTCCCGATGGCGGGCGGCGGGGGGAGGCATTCCCGCCCTGCTGCCCGGCATCGGGGCATCGTCCCGATGGCGGGCGGCGGGGGGAGGCGTTCCCGCCCTGCCGCCCGGCATCGGGGCATCGTCCCGATGGCGGGCGGCGGGGGGAGGCGTTCCCGCCCCGCCGCCCGGGATCGGGGCATCGTCCCGATGGCGGGCGGCGGGGGGAGGCGTTCCCGCCTCCCGCCGCCCGGATCGGGGCATTGTCCCAATGGCGGGCGGCGGAGGAGGCGTTCCCCCCCGCCGCCCGGGATCGGGGCATCGTCCCGATGGCGGGCGGAGGCGTTCCCCCCCCGCCGCCCGGCATCGGGGCATCGTTCCGAAGCCCGGCGGCGGCGGGAGGAGGTGTCCCCGCCCCGCCGCCAGGCTTCGGAGGAGGTCCAAGGACAGCGGGGAAGACGCGCTGCGCTTCCCCGCTGTCCCGGAGATTTCCCTATGGGCTGTCGTCTTGTGAAGCAAGCCCATAGGGAAATTCGTTTTGCGAAGCGCCTCCAAAACGGAAAACCCTTTCGTCTAGCGGGTTTTCCGTCTTGCGAGGCGTTCGTCTTGCGAGGTACCACTGTATCCTAATCATGTGAACTAAGCCTGTGTGTTAGTTCTTGTTCCTTGTGGCATATACTAGACACCGTGGGATCTAAACATTCTTTAGGAATACAAAAGCATTTAAATGAAGACACACCCAAGATGTTTCGACTCCCCCACAACCCCATCCTACCCAAGCTCCTTGTGGCCCATCAAAAGCTTCTCTAAGTTTCCTTGAGTTTGGGAAGTGATGCATCAGGCAGCAGTTTGAGGGACTTAAGGAAGAGGGGAGCTCAGAAATTCCATTGTACTAATAAAAAGCCCCCCTACAGTCCTCTGAATCCCCACCAAAGGAGTTCTGCTCTTTCTTTCTACTTACTTTCGTCGCTTCTTTTTCTTTCTCTCCCCCTCTTCTTCCTCACCATCTTGTTCGCTACCGCTACCCTTTCTCCTCTTTTTCTTTCTAGACACTGGGAGATCTTCATCACTGTCATCATTGACAAATTCATCAAATTCTCCAGTTCGTTTGGAACGCTGTCACAAAATCAGAAACACTTCCTTTATTAGTTGCTGCTTGAAAAGATCCCCCAAACAAAATTAACCCTTTTAGAAGCCACATTAGATGCACATAGAGTGCATGTAACTTAAAGTTGTAATAGATTTGATCTTTTATTTAAGAAATTTCTACGCAGAACTTCAGTATCACAAATAAAGAACAGCAGAATTAAACTGTGATAATCAAAATTAATAGACAGGTGACAAATAGATAAAGGCCCATGAATTAAAGAAATCAATATAGAGAGAAGGAAGAACAGTACAATGTTAAGAAGCTGATAATCAATTGCAGTAAAGGAAAAAATGCAAGAAGATGGGAAGAGTATTTGGATATTAGTTATACTCTGAAAGAGCTTTCAGTCGATGTACTAAAAAGAAGTAGTGCTGGTAAGTGACAGAAAACAATGATACACTCTTATGCTGGATGTTAACAGAATATCAGGGGAACAGAAAAGGTAAATCAGCCTATGTGAGTCAATTCCCTTTAAAGTTAAAAAAGAAAACCACTTCTCTTTGCACTTCTAAATAAATCCACGACATTCTAAACTGGTAAAACAGAAGTTTAAACAACTTTCCAACTCTTGTCTTTATGTCTAAAATATGACACCATTTCTCCATAGTTCTCTCCATGTAAAGTATGATGTCATTACTGTACTCTCGTCAGACCCCACAGGACAATTTTACAATAAGTTAAAGCCTGACAGCACATTTCAACTATTTGGGGTGAATGATGAATCCAAAAGCTTTTATTCTGTACCCGGCCAGCTCCACCACGTTTTTTCTCTTTAGATCCTTCAACTTCTCCAGTGAACATAAGAATATTCTTGGTCTTCTCCACATACTGTGCTCTCTGTTCCAAAAGTTTCTTTTGTTCTTCTATTTCCCTGAGGCGTTTTTCTTCCTGGAAGAGTGAGGACAAGTTGGCTACTATGCTTTTTAAAAAAAACCTACAGTACTGATGCATATATGAAAAACACAAATTTAGCAATAGACACCTAAAACAGGTTCATTCTTTTTAGTAAGTCAGACTACTGCTGAAGAGTCACTTGGGTTCTTCATGACGCAAAGACCTGACAGTGCATGAGCTACCTTTGAAAGGTCTGCTCTGAAACAAAATGAAAACCCACTGCATACAGCATGTTGCTCGTGCACTGAAAAGTAAGGTATAGTTGTACCTTGGTTGTTGAACACCTTGGTACTCGTACATTTCGGCTCCTGAACGATCAAAACCCAGAAGTGAGTGTTCCGGTTTTCAAATCTTTTTTTGGAAGCCGAACATCCGATGCAATTTCCAATTGGCTGCAGGAGCTTCCTTCAGCCAATCAGAAGCTGCGCTTTGGTTTCCAAACGTTTGGAAGTCGAATGGACTTTCAGAATGGATTCCGTTCGACTTCCAACATACGACTGTACTGCTATTTATTATGTAGTTTATAACCCCACAATTAATCCCTGCAACAGCCCTGTCTGTTAGGTAAGGCTGAGAAGTGGTGACTGACCCAAGGTCACTCAGTGGGGTTCATGGCTGAGTGGGGATTTGAACCCTGAACTCCCAGGTCCTAGTCCAGCACTCTAACCACTACACCACACCAGATAGGTGGCAGTGCAATACTTACCCATTTCCTAGTTACCAAAACCAACCCCCCTCCAAATCTATTTCAGCTGCAAAACCTATACAACGTAATACACAGGCAAGTCCTCCTAAGTGCCACACAACAACCTAAAGCACCTCACTGCAGCCTTACACTTGCTCCCTATCTTGCACTTTGCTGCAGCTTAATGGATAGTATTATGTACTATTACAGCAGCAGGAAGACTAAAGTACCTGTTCTTTGAGCAACTTCTGGCGCAGTAGTTCTTTTTCTTGCTCTTGTTTCGCTCGCAGCTCCCGCTCTTCTTCGTCCTGCTTACGAGCCCGAGCCACATGATACTGAGCCTGACTCAGCAGATCAGAACACTGCCTATCAAGTTTGAGTTCAGATTAGCAGACAGAAGCAGAAACCTTTTTTAAAAGAGCGTGTTCCATGCCAATGGCCAAGTCAGAAATACAGAGTATAGCTAAAAAACGGCAAGTGCTTACTTGGTTAAACAACAAGGACACAGTATAAGGAAAAACTGTCTATGCAGCAAGTTCCCCCAAACAGTCCATGATCAAAACTTATGCTCATAATTTGTATGCAGAGAAACAAATCATTGACCTAAGTTCAGATGACAAGATGAGGCTTGCAATTTGTTGCTTGAGATGAGGGCAAGAGCAGGGCAGAAGCAAAGCAGGGACTTCTGAGCAGCATGCACCAGCATCCTGCTCATTCACTTCAAACCATTGTTAAACATTAAACTATGGCTTTATTGTGACATGTGAACACAACCAGTGTTGCATGTCCACATCTGCCAGTTCCTAGCTAACCAACAGAGGACTGGTCACTGTCAGCTTCCTGTTCAGGAGATATGTGAGACCTGAATTAGCACCCCACTGGAACATGGTTATATGTAGTTTGCTTTCAAACTCTGGTATAAAAGTAGCCCAAATCCTACAAGTCATGTTATGCAAATTCACATAATGCATTTAGCTTCTGTAGGCATCAGTTATGGGAAGTACACAACACACAGTTCTTACCTGGCTTCAGTTGCAGCAAGTGCCAAATCAAATCTCATTTTATCTCCCACTTTGCTCAAGTAACTGAAGTATCTGAATGGAAAACAGTAAGTTAAGAATCAAATTTTAAACACTTCAGTTGAATCCTAGAACTTTCTTCACACGTATTTTTTAATTAATATTTGTATATGGTCAAATGCCACTAAATAGTAATATTTTATTCTGGAAACCTTAGCTTGTCTAATGTCTCACACATCAAAAATACACTTTCCAACTTCCAATTGAAAAATATTCCCAAACTACTTTGGATGCATCTCACTTCTCAGTATAAAGTCAACAGAAAAATCCCTACAGCTATTAATGGATTTGGATTGCATGGTGTATCCTTTTTGTGAAGGACTGAATCATTCTCACAGATGCTCAGGGAAAGTCTTGGAGATGTTGCAGAACCTGTCAAACAACTGTTTAATGGAAATTTCAAGCAAATGAGACTGAGAGAGGAGGCAGGTTATTTGGCACAGGTAATCATGCTCACACCCGTAAATATTGCAAAAAGCACTGTAACACTATGAGAAAAAACAATTGCCTGCATATATACAGTGAAGCATGAAGTATAACTAGAAGCTTGCATCTTTTAAACAAGCTTCCAGCATAGAAGCAATATAGCTACCTAGTCCCAAGTCATAGGTTACTTCTGTTTGGAGTGCCCGGGTGTCTAAAAATTGTCCTCGTGTGCCAAGAAATACAGCAGCCTTTGAAGGTCACGGCACTGGATGCTATTCTGAAAGCCTATCCTTCACCTTCTAGCTCCCAGTGCTTTCTAGGTTCTCTTGTGAACTTTCATGACTGCTGCTCCTACTGCATGTTAATTGCTCATCCAGCTGCAGCTCGAGATTAGCAACTGGAGGAGGCTATTGAAGCAAGAAGCAAGTCTTTCAACTTTCTGTAAGTATCATTCATTCCTTTTTGGAAGTTATTAAATAGTGAAGCTCAGTTTCAAACTGGAAGATGCATCTTTTAATACAGACCTTAGCGGGAGGTTCAGTATATTTATATTTTATTGAGAGTTGCTGCTGCTGGATCGGACAGTTTCAAGTCTGTTCTTTTTCTGTATATTGGATATACTGTAGTTTTAGCTGTATCTGTAGACTGGATGTTTTTGTGTTTCCAAGTTTTATTACATAAACCACTCTAGCGGGTTTTGTGTAAGAAGCAGTAAATAAACTGAATTAAAAAAATTAATTCAACAGTGTAGTTAAGAAACAGCATCTGGCGGATCTGACAGGTCTACCTGAGTCTAAACACATTTATGAAGCTGTGCAAAGAAATAACTAGAGTTTGGCATTTGCTCCAACACCTTCACAGAACACCAGCACAATACAATAATAGATACCAAAATAGCAAATGCAGATTTGCTTACCTGTGAGCCAGCTCCAGCTCTTTCACAGCATTGAGTACTTCCTTCAGGTTACTTTTTTCATCTTTCAGGACAGAGGTAGCCAGCCTCTGCAGCACCAAGGCCACATTGAACATTAGAACTGTATCACTGGGTGCTACATGTCTAGCCTGAAGATTCAAATAAGACTTTAAATTTAGTAGGTGTGAACCAGCCTTGGCTCCAACACAAACAAGCTGGTGCAACATCCACTGCAACAATATATGTAAGAAGCTTTTTTTTTTTTTTACCTTCAGCAATGTTTGCTTGCATTCTTGTAATTTGCCACATTTGAAGAGAGCTCGAGCCAAATACAACAGTACCTCCGTGTTCTGATGCTTATAGAATTTTCTTAGGCAGTTTTCATACTACAAGGGAGAAAATTCAATGGTTTTATGTTTAAACCCTCATTCTGACTGAAATGTCGCACTTAGTTACATTGAATAAAGAGCTTAAACAGATTTCACAGGAATTTACAGCCCAATCCTAAGCTTGTTCGCTTGGTTAAGTCCTTTGGAGTTCCACAGGGCTCAGAGACAAATTTAGCAGGATGCTAATCATGTCTTCTCCATATGCATGACTCTTTTTCTCAACTTCAAGTAGCAGGCACATGGGAAGGATTGCTTAAAAAACCTTTTCCTCCCACATTGCAACCTTGGGAAAAAAAACCCGAACCTGCACAGTAAGGAAGCTCTCATTGCTGCCAATAACTAATTAAATGACTAATAAGTTATGAGGTCTACTGTTTGTGTCTACTAAGACGTCTGCAGCTCTTCATTATAGCAGGAATCCAGACAGTAAGCACTACAATGCAATGCGTTGCTAACTTCAAGCCTAGAAGTTACTTCAGGCAATATGAGGTTTCCACTTCTTTACTTGGAATACATCACCTGAACAGTCACTGCTGAAATTTATTATGCAAGTTTCAAGGCAGGGAAGAAAATATGGGTTGTATCCAATGCTGCACCTGCAGTCAACACCCATTTCACTAAGGAGTGATATATAGTTGTGAGAATGTGTGTATTTTTACAGAATGTAGAGCGTAGAATCATAGAGTTGGAAGGGACCCTGAGGATCATCTAGTCCAACCCCCTGCAATGTGGGGTTATGCAGTTGCTCAAACCTACAACCTTTTTTTTTACATTTAATCATTTTTTTGATACAAACAACTGCAAAAGACACATACAACAAAAACCATAACAATAACACAATTTGACAATTCAGATTTGAATACACTGATATACCTATGACTATACCTTTTGAAACAATATTTTCCCACCTCTCTCCCCTCCCCCTACTTCCCACCACTAGCTGCCTTATCGCTTAAATATTCGTTCCAGATTTCTTCATATTTATCCATTCTTATTTTGCATCAACATGCAATTCGTTTGTATGTAGCTAATCTGTCCATATTCTCAATCCATGCACTCAATGGAATCTTATTGCGGCTCTTCCAATTCATCAAAACAAGTTTTTTTGTTTATAATATAGCACAGTACATCCATTTTTTTTGACCCCTTGAAATCTCTGTTTCCGGAATATAATTTAGAATTAAATTTAATTCCCCTAAATAGCAATTTCTTTTTATTACTCTTGCTATAAATATCCTCACCTCGCACCAAAATGATCTTATCATCGGGCAGTTAATCATTGTATGTACTAAATTCGCATTTTTACTCCCATATCTCCAGCAGTTGTCTGCACTTGCTATTTTCTTCTGGTATAGTTTTGCTGGAGTCCAGGTGACTCTGAATATTATTTTCTGTTGAATAAGTCTTAGTCTTAGATCCACAGAGGCTATTTCTGTTGATTTTATACTGGACTCCCATATATCATTTGTTATCTGTACCCCTAATTCTTCACTCCATTTTTGTCTATCATATTCTAAATCATATTTCTTCCTGTTGAGTAGGGTTTTATAAAGTGCAAGTGTAGAGTTTTTTGTTTTTGTTGCAGAGATTAAATCTTGTAGCAGCATGGGTGTTTCCGATGCTGCTATAGTGTCAGGGCCAAACTGCCTTTCCTACAACCTTGGCATTATCAGCACCATGCTCTAACCAACTGAGCTATCTATTCCAGTGTTTTTCAGACTCCATATCCAGAAGCATTTTTCTCTCAGCTAGTCTGAGGAAATCCTACAAATTTGTGAAAGAATCCCTGCATATAGCAGAGGACTCTGGGTTGTGTTTTATGGTATGCTCATGTCACTCGGGCTGCAATCCAGACCCCTTGGGCCTGCCCTATGCAAACTAGGGAGAAGTGCGGGCCAACACTTCCTTGCAACTGTGCACTGCAGGGGATGATCTGCTGGTGAGTCTTGCTTCTCATGAAAGCTTGTCTGCCTTTGTTCATCTTCCTTTAAGAACACTGTCTGAAAATCACATTAACTAGACTATATGAAAACAAAGGGGAACCATTCACCTTGTACCCTGCACAGATTTAGAATACCACTATTCCAACTCAGTTCAAATTAAGATTATGTTGACAATAAGTAGGTTTTCCAATGTAAATAATACAATTCTGTAATGATTTAAACACACATTATGCAAGAGCAGAGATAAAGAAATACACCATTCTGAAGATAAAGCTATATTGGTAAGGAAGTGAGTAAAGTATAGGTTCCTCACTACTTTCAAAATTCCTATTGTGCTAAGTTTCTTGACTGCAAATGCTGAAATACTCTCCCATATTTGTGGATAGTACATTACTGGTTTTCTTTCTTGCACAATTATTCAGCTGGATTATTCCTCACTGCTTTTTGAACATACCTACTTATATTGGTGTTAATTTCATGGAACTGTTCCAAGTCACTTGACATGTTTTTAAGACTGGCAGAAAAACATTTCTCCAACACCCCAGCTGCTTTTATTTTGACCCCCCCTTCATATCTCCTGCTTACGTAATAAATTCAAGAACACAGATGTTAGTAGCTCAACATTTCATGCCTTTTTAGTGCAATGACATTGGCAATACTAGGAACTTGGAAGTTTGTCTGCTTAAGGCTTGATACAGAGCCTCTAATACATTCCCTAAGCCCGTACAGGCAGCTTAGGGCTCGTTTGCCCACTATGTTTTCATGGCATTTTCTACACCAGGTGGTAGTTTGAACACCACACTTCTTTGGTGAAGTTTGTTCCCATCCTCATGCTTTCAGCTACAAGGTCCTCTTAACATGTGGTGGAAAGGTCGATAAAGGAAAAGAATAGCAAGTTAAAAGGCAAGATAAATTTGTCTGTTAGTAGTAAATTTGTCTGTTAGTAGTAAAAAAAAAGTATATAATGTCTGGCAACAATTTCTGCCTAACAATTTACCATAGTCAAATAAAATACCTCTAACTAGCATTTCAGCTGTACTACAAATATCTAACACAGAGAATGATGCTTAAGTGAGAGGTGGGCAAACATTGTTTTGCCAATACTGTGTAAGTTTTGTTCAGGATGTTTACTCTAAGGTTTCTACAGGAACAGCAAACATGTTAACTTCTTTGCAGTTTTTTTTTTTTTAAAAAGTGTTCTCTCACAAACTTTCCATCCATTTTTTTTTTAATTAAAGAGATGTTTCATCTGGTGATTCATATTTGTAGCTTAGGTTTAACAGAGATGGCTCCTTATTGATTTTATGAAGATCGTATTTAAGAAGATATTTTATGGCAATTCTGGGAAAAACAAGTTCTTCATCTTATTGCCCCCTCCAAAACAAGAAAAATTCTCCCTAAATTTTAGTTATTTAATATGGGGCTACCATACTAAAGTTTTTTCTTAAAGAAGGGAATATTTCCCATGAAAAATACTTTCTTAGTTTTACAGTTTAAAAAAAAAAAGACTATTTTTTAAGAATTACCATCTGTACAGCACTGATGTACTGCTTCTGTTCCACATAAATGTGTGCCAGATTGAGCCACACATCACTGATATCTGCCGTTGCCTCTCTCACTTGGGCAAAAACATCACGAGCCTCACGGAAATATCCTTTGTGTGCCAGTACAGCTCCTAAAAAAAAAAAAGCCCAAGGACAATTTCAGATGTATGGTCTACATGAAACACAGCAGAAAGCTCAGAAGACAATTCAGGCAAGGAATCCAAACACAATAATCACCTATGCCATTAGCAGCATACAAGTTTTTGGAGTCATTCCTGAGTACTTGTTTGTAGATGGCTAGTGCACGATCTTGATGACGCTTTTCCTACAAAGATGATGACATGAAATCTTGTTCAAGTGGGTTATTTGCAATTTAACTATTTCAACACCGCTTTCTCAAACCATCAAATGTTGACAATACACTAAAGCCACTGCAATAACCTAGCATCCTCAGAAAGTTCAGTCAACCAAAAACATTTTCAAAGAGAGAGATCTTTTAGCCCCTGTTAAGATAGCAAAGGAAGATATTCACAGTCGCAATCACCGTAAAAACTCTGCTCTCTGTTGTTGCTGTTCAAACCTACTGCAAAGTCAGCACAGATGGTAAAAATGGCTCCCCGGAACTCACTTGGTCTATGGTGCAAATTATGCACAATCACTGAACTGGCCATAGGCATGGAGTCTGAACGTGTGCAGCATTTACCTTCTCTCTGTCCCTGGTGGGCTGGTGCAGAGTCTGCAACCACACATTGCCAAGAGCCAGCATAGAGTAAGTGTCATTCTGAGTTGATGGCTGCTTCAATATTCTTTCAAATTTCTTCTGTCCTGGACCCCACTCTTGTTTGGCCAAGTGAAGATTGCCAATCAAGGACCAAGCATCTGGATGGTCCTGAAACAGAAACCCCAACATGTTAAGTTCTCATCAGTTTACAATGAATATTTCTAATTTCCCCCCAAAGTTTAGAGTAACTGTAACAGTGCAGAAGAGCAAAGTCTTTACGAAGTTCAGCTACTTGATTTCCCCCAGCTTTCAACAGTTTACTTCTCTTCCATTCAGGTCAAACGTTGGGAGTAATGCTCAAAAGCAGCTGCCAAGAATGTTTCCCTGTGTCCCAGCTAGTCATAATAAAGATACATTATCAAAATGCCATTTCTAGCACAGCATGAAGGCTGAATAGCTGATCTATGTGGGACACAGGAAAATGATTTCTGCCTTCTTCACAGAAAATGTTAATTCGCAGCCTGTAAAGCTAGTTGATAGTTTACAAGTTCTTACTAACCTGATTGATTTGAAGTGCTTCTTTAAACCAGTCAGAAGCTTCATAGAAGTTTCCTTTATCTCTAGCCATCGCTCCTAAGCGCAGATAGCCTGAATACCAAAAAATAAAATTTAATAATCAAAAGCCCAGTTCTGGAAGTCATTAAAGATGAGGCATGTCTGCTGCAGCAAGCATTTAGATGTACTGATGCCACACCGGCTTAAGACAGCAGTAGATTGGGTCAGTGTTAACTGTGCAACGAACAGCCACTGATTGCCAGATGTATAATAAAAAACAGTTTTGTCATTCTGAATTGGCCGTAGAAAAAGGGGCTTGGTGGGGGCAACACTAATCACCTTCACGTGATCCTTAAATTATATGGGAACAATGCAGAACCCGCCACTTATAGTTGCAGTCTCTCTCATGGTACTGAACTGAAACATATCAAAGAAGGCTGCTCTGTTTCAGGGTAACTTGCACAATGTATTCCATCTATATCTTTTACATATACACACAATGTCAGTGTCATGATGAGCTTTATAAACTTTCCTGGTTATGTGTATTTACAGAAGCTTTCATAGGAACTTCTCATATTTGCTATTTACACACACATCAAAAGCGAGGGGAAATTAAGCAGTTTAGACATCTAAATCAATAAAATAATGCCAGTATTTAAGGACATCAGAATTGTAGGAACAAGTTAGTGGAAAAAATACTTTTGACCAGGAAGGTACATTCTGCTTGCAGTTTAGCCACAATGGTTTACACAAAGAAAGCATCAGTGAATGAACAGTTACATTTATGAGGACAAACATGAATGCATGGCATAGTTCAAATACAACTGAAAATTTTGACAAGATTTCTTACAGTCAACATAATTAGGATGTTCCCTTAGGATGTTTTTGTACAATTTCTCTGCTTCATGGAATTCACACATTGCTTCATATAATCTGGCAAGATTGTAGGATGTAGTCACTGAGATAGCATTGTAGTAATGCTCATCATGTTCAGCTTCTGCTTTAGCACGGTCAAGAGATGCCAAGAAATATTTCTAAGGATAAACAGGGGAAAGGGAACAAAGTAGTATATATTCTGAGTACACACATAGAACAAGTTATAAACATGCTGCACAGTAGTAGTAGTAGTAGTAGTAGTAGTAGTAGTAGTAATGAGTTCCACACCTTTGCTTCTCCTAAGTTTCCAAGTCTAAAGTGGAGAGCACCCACATTATTCAAGATCTCTGGAGGGACATCAGCTTGAACTTTCTCCTGAAGGATTCGTGTTGCTGTACCATAAGCAGAAAGAGCACCCTGTCAAATTTAGAGATGGAGAAAAGTGCACAGGTTTAGTTCTATGCATCTCTGCTCGGCTTAAAAACACAAGTGCACTTTATGCATCTTCTCCATACCTGTATATCTGTCTGCTCTAGGATTTGGGCTAGCTCAATCCAGGCTTCCACATCATCTGGGTACTGTTCTGTCACCTTCTTCAAATGACCCTATAAATTACAAAGGTTATTTATGTATGTGTACACTCTTAAATTGCTAGAAGACACAACATAATAAAGCTACCATTTATTTTACATTTTTTAACGTCAAAGATAGGATTTTGACTAGGTCAGAGGCATTTCAATAAAGTTAATAAACTTCAGATGTACAGACATTAACTACCATAATAAGAAGTATCTTGTTAAACTGACCCAACTATTAAACATGAGAATGAAAGTCTGCCAGATTAACAATTACAATATACAGCGTCTTACTATGGCGTTCCGGGACTGCATTTGCACAGTTTCAAATTTCCTAATCTGTGGAACAAAGGTCCTCCATGTTCTTGCTTTTCCTTGATAAAGGCAATACTTTACTGATGTATACCACTCAACTAGAGCCATTAAAAATAAATCTCTGTCAATTCAGTGAAATCAGCCTGCATCACAATGAACATTGTGTTACTAATGCCTAAAACCTTAGAATAGATGAACCACACAACTCGAAGTAGATGGTGGGTATTTTAACTGGAAAGAAGTGCTAGCTTTCACTTATGAATATACATATTGCATGAAAACAGTTCACACATCAGTAAGTTCATTTATCCAAGCTTCTGGTGTTTTTTGTTGTATTGAAAAGAGAGGAAATTCTCTGTTACTCAGCTGTACCACATATGTCTGTCTAATCAGAGACCAACCAAAGATTTTGTTTTCCAGAGAGTTCAAAATATCCCACAATTCTACCCACTGTTGAAGGAAAAAAAATATCCAGATAGCACAACACTAGGACCTGCTTCAGATGCAATGCTAAGCCAAACATATGGGGTCCCAGTGCAAAGACCTCAGCCACAGTGCTCCAGCCCACCCACCCCCATCCTGTTGCTTCTGGGCTATCCAGGGCTAAGCCATAGTTTGGCTTAGCATTATGTCCAAACCCAGGTTTGTGGTTTGTCTTACGGTTTGTTCTTGATTTACTAGAACATGCATATTTGCACTAAGCTATAGGGTTAGCGTTATGGGAAAAACAGACATAACAGTATAATATACTCTACAGTTGTGCACTCAGTTCTGTTCCATTGAGTTCAATAAGGCTTACTCCTAGGTAAGAGAGTATGAATTACAGCTCAAGTCTAAGAAGTTTGCTACCAAATGTACCTTTGCAGTATCTCGTTTGTCTTGATCTTCTGAAGCAGCATAGAGAGATCCAAGAATTTTCATAGTCTCATAATTGTTAGGGTAGGCCTTCAAAACTTTTTCAAAACACTGTGATGCATTTTCCTTGTCTCCTCTATAAATATACATTTGACCAAGTCCAAAAAACGGTAGCACAAAAGAAGAGGAAGCAAACTGTGTAGCTTGGTAGTAGTACTGGAAAGCCTGATCATAATCTTCCTAATGCAGGGGAGGAAAAAGTAGTAGTTTATATGGTGTACATGGAAATCTATTTAAAAAATAAGAATGCAATGTAGAAAGAGGCTTTCCAAGTACCTGAACATGGAAAGACCTGGCTAACTGGTAGCAACTCTCAGCCTGCATTGCTTCAACTTCTGTATTATGGAAAGCATGAAGAGCTAAGTGCTGGACTTTGCCATAGTCCTGTAGAAAAAAATATACAATTGGCATAATCATTTTCTTATGGTATTCAAAATCATGGCCTGGAACATTTAGTACCTAGAAACCTGATCTTCCAATGTTTTAAATATCACACATGGTTCTTATATACTAAAATCCTCAAGCATTTGGAGGACGCAACCCTGGGAACTGAAGCAATTATATATAACCAAAATACCTATCTACTTCTGGCTTATACACTACTTTCTCCATGTGAATGTGATATAGAGAAGCCTGAGGAATGTGTGCTTAGAAACTTCAACAAGCACTGCAACTAGTGTGAACCAATCTCAACTAAAATGAAAGGGTGTATGTATATATTAAATATATATTATATTTAATAACAATAATCACAAAATAAGAAATAACTTTAGGCAATCCTGGCCAACGTATTATTTTAAAACAACAATAACACTGAAGCCTGGTTCTTCTTTGTCTTTAGTTAAAAACATTATTCTGAGATTCAAATTTACTGTGTTACCTTGAGTGTTATAAAGAATATTGAAATAGAAAGCCTGATCACTTATGAAGCAGCCTAAAGACTTTCAACCAGCAACTCAAAACATCCACAAGTTCTCTTACCTTTTTGAAGAAGAAGTGATTAGCCAAGTGGTTCAGCACCATAGGGTTACTAGGGTCAATTGTATATGCTCTAGAAAGCAGCTGGACGCCATTTTTTATGGAATCCGCCTGAAAGCAACATTAACAGAATTTTTTTATTATGCTTAAAACTGAATTAGCTTTTCAGCTGTTCCTTTACTATACCATTTTCAAAACCATTCTTTTAAAATGGATGAGTCACATAACGGGCAAACAATGCAGTAGACTACATATCTGCTGAAAACATTTGCCCAATACATTCAGAAGGCCATATTTTTGATTAAGATCCTAGTGTAAAAAAAATCCTGTCACTGGTCAATGGCTAATGATTCATATTTAAACCAGCTCTATTTTAATTACTGTCTTTACAGCTTATTTTATTTCTCAAAATTAGAGAAAACTAAATATGCATTCATTAAAATGGAGAACAGTGAGGTTTTCATTTCAACTGCTGTTAATTTTCATGTCTGCATCTGCACAGAAGTCTTTGTTAACTAGACATTCAATGAAACATATTCTGATATTAGCATTTTAGATCAAACCCACCTCTTTATTATTGAGTTCCAGAACAGCCAATCCAACTAAAGCCCCAACACATTTGGAATTGAGTTCCAGTGCCCGGCTGAATGCAAGGCGAGCTTTCTCCAGTTTGTTCAGTTTTACAAAGCAATGGCCCATGCCTAGCCGAACCTCAGCTAGTTTTGGGGTGGGGGGTGGGGACAGAAAAACAAACAAACATATATTAGAACATAGCCATTCACACCTCAATTGCCTTTTAAGAAATGTAGGTTCATAATTTACTGTTTCTAGAGCCCTTAAATCTCTACTTGGCACTTTATGATAGCAATAATTTGCAACAGTCCCTGCCCACAGACTTTCAAGCTAATAAGTAAAGGTTTGTACTTATCCTGAGCTCTCTTCAGGCATGATGCCCATCATGCAAGGAGAAGAAAGATGGAGACAAGTGTGCTAGCTCCAACTCGTGTGCCCATCTCCAGTGCCCTCCTGTGTTGGAGAGCAAGTGTCTGCAGAGGGGAGCCTGCTGTATTCATGTCGGCTGCATGATTAGAGTTCTAAATTGCATGGGGAGACCACATAAATACAGAAGGCTTCGTGCTGCAGATGCTTGCCTTCCAAAGAATGGAGGACGGCAGAGAAAGGCACAGTGACTCAAGAGAGAAGGCAGAGATAGTGGGCTTGTCCTTGCATTCTAACTGCATTTGGGAAACTAATGCACAAAAGAGTGAGAGAGGAGTCCTCAAGTGGCTTGCTTGCATTCCCCCCCACTCCTTCACATATTTACCCCTCATGTATCCAGATGTACACCAATTCTTGGTTGCATGAATAACTTTTTAATTTTTTTTAAAAGGATTAGAAAATTAGGGGTCTATTAGGTAAAGGTAAAGGTACCCAAGCCCATACAGGCCAGTCTTGCCAGACTCTAGGGTTGTGCGCTCATCTCATTCTATAGGCCGGGAGCCAGCGCTATTCGCAGACACTTCCGGGTCATGTGGCCAGCGTGACAAGCTGCATCTGGCGAGCCAGCACAGCACACGGAATGCCGTTTACCTTCCCGCTGGTAAGCGGTCCCTATTTATCTACTTGCACCCAGAGGTGCTTTCGAACTGCTAGGTTGGCAGGCGCTGGGACCGAACAACGGGAGCGCACCCCGCCGCGGGGATTCGAACCACCGACCTTTTGATCAGCAAGCCCTAGGCGCTGAGGCTTTTACCCACAGCGCCACCCGCATCCCATTCCAGTCCACCTCTACCCCTTGTCAAATTTGTTTTTGGAAAACTATAGATCCAGGAACTCTCCCATGCGGCAGAAACAATGTATTCTGAAAGAAGGTAAGAGGCCATAGCTCAGTGGCTGAGCATATGTTCTGCGTATGAAAGGTCATAAAAGAATAGGTTTGTCACTGGCTACTAGTGATAATCTCTCTATTGGACCTCAAAGCTCAGTGGCAGTATTCCAATGAATACCAGTTGCTGGTGAGTGGCGTGGGGTGAAGGAGAGATGCTATTACCTTGAAATGCATCTAGGTAAGCTAGAATGAATTTTGGTCTGATCCAACATGGTCATTCTCATGTTTTAAAACCCCAGGATATTGATCTTGGCACTCCACTGAAAATATCTTGGGTAGCAAATCTTGGAAAGATCACTGACTGGAGAATTACTGTCAGTAACAGACCTCATTGACTCAGATAGATCAATGCAATAATGTAGCTTCTTAAGCTTGCACTTGCTTTCTGTTGTACTTGACTAATGCGTTTATCTCCAAAGTTTATACTCTCTCAGCAGCAGAGGTCCAACAAAAAGGCACCACATTCATCTTATTTTGACTTCAACTGGATTAATCCAAAGTTAATTAAAATACTCTATTGCTTTTTAAGTTGCATTGGCAAGACCCAGGGTCAGATATGACAACGACTGTCCTCCTTAATATGTAAGACAAAAGACAAATGCCAAAGCTTAAAAATCATGTTAGTATTCAAACTACCTGAATTTAGGGGCACTATTTTTGGTCCCTTTGAACCAAACAATGTAATTAATTAAAATAAAGCTTTTCTGTTCCTTACCTGGACAACCTGGGTTAGTGCGCAGTGCCTTTTTGTAGTAGGCAAGGGCCCCTCTATAGTCTTTTTTGTTGAATGAGATGCATGCCTTACCTATTAGACAGGAGCAATAAAAGCTGAGAAATATCTACACAAGGTGAATAACAACCACAACAAATCAATAGCAGTTCATTGTTTTACCAGCTAAAAGTACATATGCATAATATGTCACAATTATAAAAGAAACCACTCAAGTGACAAGTATCCCCAGTGTAGTGGGTGTGATCCAAAGCACATTTAATTGTAAATATACTCATTTGATTTCAGTGTTTGTAAGCCTCAAGTAAAACTGAAGCATAATATAATAGTGCAAAATTCAGTATGACAAAACTGGTATGAATGATTAGTAGTTTGTTTCCAAAAGAGACAGAGACAAATCTCTGTCTTCAAATATACAGTTTATGCCAAATTTGACTGTGTTTTGTATATTCATTCCTACCCCCATACTATTAGAAATATACTCCAAGATGGAGTATCGCAGATTTCAGGTGTGCAGGGCTGTTTTCATAACATCTATAAAAATCTCATGAACATGATAGCTGCTACAGCACATATAGAATAGCAGCATATTCATTCAAAGAACACTTTAATGAACACACACAAATACCCAACAATGACAGCCAACCCCTCCCAAGGTTTAAGCACTCTTCACATTAGCAAATAAAATGTCACCAAATTTTCTTTCACCTTAGTCAGTTTAATACTCATGTTACTGGGGATTTAATACTCATGTTATTGGGGAAGCAGTAGAGGGGAACTCAACGAAACCCACAAGCATGTGATTTCTCCCACTTTTACCCAAATCATACCCCCATGTGTATCTAAAGAAGCCATTAAGAAAGGTGAAGCTGGCTCTCTTCCTGCCTTGTAATTCAAGCACTGAACTTAACTCTGAAGTCCTGTTGCCTGCCAAATTAGGTAGTCTCATAACTCTTCTCAAAGGTGCTCAAATGGACTGACAAGCCTGCAGTGTAAGACAGTTTTATACGAAGAGGAGGCAGCTATCTTTATGGCCTTTGGAACTGATCAAGAGTAAAAGGAAAAGCGGTGGTTTCTAAAGGTATATTGAGCCTAAAGTTTTACTGGTTAAAAACCGGACATAAGTTGTGTGAAGGGAAAGCGTCCAAAAAGATATTTCACATCTCACCGAGAAGGGCTGGAATATTATTTGGAGACTGGTTGAGCACAAAATGAAACTGTGCATCAGCTTGATCCATTTTATCACCCTCCAGAAGACAGAAACAAGCTCTTCCCAATAAGTGGTTCTGGAAAAGCAAGATACAGATGTAAATTGTCTTTCAAAAAATGTTTTAAGAGTTGAATTAAAGAATTGCTCATTGTGAATTCTTCCAGCACTAGTTAAGTCCCCAAATTAAGCATTTTAGTGCAGGGCATCCTAGATGCTTAAGATACATACAGACCCCTCTGCTGCAGATTGCCTGATAGCAGCATGCCTTGTGAATAAATACTTGATGTGCAATTCATGTTTAGTAAACTACAGATTCAAAGAAGACCAAATTCACTGCCCCACATTCTGCCCTGACTGGTACAAATGGCAGGGCTTCAAGACATGGCAGTGACTCCTCAGTTCTATTCTGCCCAATGGATTCAAAGCTTCCAGTCTTCCACCTCAACTGCCCCATTTTAGGGCTTACTGCTGATGCAATAACCCACAATTATATGAGTTTTGTAGTTATTTCAAACATCCCCATGGTCCAGTTTCTCTCTTTATTTCTCTACAAGATCCTCATGAAAACTATCAGTATACTGCTACTACTGTCTTTATTTCTGACATGCTTCCCTTTCCCCTGCTGTTTAGGATGTCCCATTCCCCTATTACTATAATAGAAACGTAAGAAAATGCCTTATAACAAGTTAGACCATTGTTTCACCTAATTCAGCAGTCAGCTGTAGACTAAACAGTGACTGGCAGTGGCTCTCCAGGATTTTAAACAGGATCCTATTCCAAGCATATTTGGATATGCCAGAGACGGAGTCTGGAACCTTTCACATGCAAAGAGGATGCTGTACCACTGAACTATAACCCTTCCCTTTCCCCAGATTTTTCCCTAATAGATCCTCCTCTTCTTTCATTTTCCATCTTTTTTAATGTCTTTAAGTTGTAAGCCTTTGGACATTTTTCATTTTAAACTGTACACTTCCAAGTAGTTTTATGTGCCTTATTTTTTTAAAAAAATGAATACTCCTGGTACCTCCACAGGTCAGGAATACGGAAGGGGGGCGGGGAAGAGACTCCATAAAGCACTAGCAAAATTTGGCCAAGAACGTATTATACTTGATTAAGAGGTAAAGCCAATTTTATTGTTATATTTAAACAGCTGGTAAAATGACCACAGTGGCTCCATTCCCTTCAGCAATTATCCACTGTGTTCCAGCAGCAGCAGCAACCACCCATAAGCTCAAAGTTTTCTTCTTGCAGATGAGCTGGAGCATACAGTGTGGTGTATGTGTGTTGCACAAATGAAAGCAAACCACATCTAGGAATAAAGTTCTGCATGTGTTATCCAGCTTTGAATCTCCCAAGGCAGACTGTTTAGAGCAGTGTTTCCCAACCTTGGGCCTCCAGCTGTTTTTGAACTACAATTCCCATCATCCCTGACCACTGGTCTTGCTAGCTAGGGATGATGGGAGTTGTAGTCCAAAAACAGCTGGAGGCCCAAGGTTGGGAAACACTGGTTTAGAGCAGCTGTGAGCAAATCATTCCATTGCACTTACTATCTCTTGAGCTGAGGCAATCTTTAAGAAAACAGCACTCTATCTATCTATCTATCTATCTAATCTATATATCACACCACCTATATGCAAGATGTGGGTGTTACTTCAACGTCCCAACTAGTTTACTGGTATTATAATGTTGCAAAGCAAGCATACAAAAAAGGATGTTTTTACTCCAAGTTTATTTGTTCTTACCTGATCATACATGATGATTTTATCAGCCATAGTGTACAACAGTGTAGCTTGTGTAATGAGTTCTTTCTTGTTGTCTTTATTCTTTTCTTTCCGAGCCTGTTGTACATAGTAGGCTGCTAAGGTATCTAAACAAGTCATCTGATCTTTTTCATGGTCTCTATAATCCAGGTTTCCATCTATACGAGCAGCCTCCAACAGTTTCACAAAATCTTCTGTTTTGCCTTGCTTGTAATATTCCAGCTAGAAAAAGGAAATACAGAGGCATATGTATGGTTTTGTGTATAACTCTACTAGGGGGAGAAATCATCAATTTATGGTTAATATTAGATAAAACGTTATCATATTAGTATCTGTTCATTCAACTATTGTACTATATAAACCAACAAAGCAAATTCAAAAACTGCTTATTCTGCAGTTTACTGCAAGTGATGAATGGGGAATGCTGTCGTCACCAATAACCTTCACTGATAAAGACAGTTACAAGAAGTGTAGATATGATCTGTAAAATCTTAAAGGGAACTGGAAAATTCACTGATCATTTCAACCTTGCACTTGTGTTTGTAGGCAGCCAAAACTGTTCTCCCTGTTGCACATCTCAGAGGGAAGGAACAGGATCACCTGACATTACACTGAGATTGAAACCTAGTACACTTGTGTATGGGGTGGGAAGAGTTCCTGCAGAGGCAGAGTGGGAGCTCATTCCAACTGTGCATATATTAATAAAGCAAAAAGACATATCATTGCTCTTGAAGTAGCACAGCATCAGGGACAGTCCCTGCCATTCTCCCATGCTTCTGAAGTAAGCCTTAGGGAGGAGTCCTCATAACTTCTCAAGATACAAAAGAAAGGCAGAGGCTCTCAGTGCTGCGGCCCAAGCAAAATGTGTTTTTGTCAGTAGTGGACTGGCAAGTGTAACGGGAACCTTTAAGAACTGCATCACAATATATGAGATAGTCAGGCAAGGGATCCAATGCTATAGGAAGAATCCTGCTCCAGAGAAATTGAAAACATACAGCTTCCCAAGTGGCTGAGTATATACCTGCAGCCATAACAGGCCCTCCAGATACAGCAGGCACCACCACCCATCACTGTTGGGGCCTTTAAGAACTATACCAGAATATAAGAGAGAGTGGGGCATGCAAGGTATCATCTCCTGCAAGCTGATTGCCATTTCCTGTACTTCTGAGGAACTAGCTCCTGGTTATATTAATAAATAACTTTTCTGCACAGAGGTTTTATCCTATGAAATTCTGGTTATAATTTTGAATAAATAACATCAATATATGTCTTAATTATTACTGAGCATTTTATAAGGAAATTAAAATGTGTTATTGTACTGATATAGATTGATGTATTGATACATATTGTTGTTGTTTTGTGAGCCCCTTTTGCACATTTTTGTGGAAAAGTAGCATGCAGTGAGGTAAGGCCTAAATTTAAATTCTAAAGTGCCAACCTCCCTTTTGAATACCTACCATCCATTCTTCATTTCAAGTAACATGTGACACACTCATTTTAGACCTAATTATGACTAGCAGCACACAGGTACACTCTGATCAAGCAATCTGTTTCAGGCACTGACGTTACGACATGTTCCTGCAACACACCACTATTTCATTTAATGGATTTCTTTATGGGCATGGATCAGCTAACGAAATGAATGAGTCCTAATTTCACATATATAAGAGACCCATAAATGTGTATTTTGATCAGGGAACAAAAATACAAATTGGAGCGTGGGATGAAAAACAAGAGCAGTTATTTCAAAACTTAAAATGCATAACATTCAGAGGTATACATACAAGTGCTCATTTTAAGATGAAAGCTTTAATCATAAACACGCTTACTGGAGAGCAAGTCCTTTTGAACTCAGAGGTAATTACTTTTACATGACATCTATGGCTTGGGCGATTAATCGTTTTTGCTAATGAAGTATCAGGTGAGAGATAAGGATGGGATACAAGCATAGTAAGTAAATAAATCAGCTACAATGAATTGGCAAAAAACTAACCGCTAGAGCAATCCATATGTGCAGTTGAGTATGTTCCTGTTTCAGAATGCTTATAACTTCATCCCCCTCCGGTAACTGATCGAAGTCAAGCTCAATGACCTAAAAAAAAGTGATATTGTAAATATTAATAACTTTATGAGCTATTAAGGCATGTACTATTCTGCTCATGCACCTTGAGGAAAGTTTTCAAACACATTTTATGGTAATACACACTAGTTAGCTCCGAAAGATGCTTTAACTGTTCCGACCGCTCAATATGCTCAAAGAGTAAACTATTGAGCTAAGGGACACCTTACATAATATGGCTTTCCTACACAGGGACATGCAGAAAAATAAGAACCCCTGCATCCCTGAAATGGATCATATGCAAGATTTATGTACTTTCCTGCACAACCACTATACCTGTGTAGAAAAGCTCTTATGTGAAGTAATTCTAAGCTAGTTGTTGTATCAGTCTAGCACAGTGTTCCCCAAACTTGGGTCTTCAGCTGTTTCTGGACACCTCCCATCATCCCTAGCCAGCAGGACCAATGGTCAGGGATGACGGGAATTATACTTCAAAAACAGCTGGAGACCTAAGTTTGGGAAACACTGGTTTAGCAGCACCTATCAGGCCCAACCAATAAGGCAAAGAAGCACAGCATTAAAATCCTCTTTGAATGCATGGTTGCATTTGAAGTGGCAATTCTAAAGGAGGCAAACGCTTTTAAAATACAAAGCCAAGAAGTGGCTATTAGGCGATTCATCTGATGCAGACTCTGCAACTCCCATGTACACACACCTGCGGTTGCTATGCGCAAGGATGGAAAAAAACGACACGTTTATCAGTACTGTCCTGTGTGTGTATCTCTCTCTCTCACACACACGAGGAAAGTTAATCTTACGGGCCTAGAATCAGCAGCTTAGTGGGTTGTAACATCACTTTCCACAACTCTGCAAAACGCACTGGGTGACGAGGGAAGGCGGTCGCCCTTAAGCCCCTCATTACACCTCTCCCTCCAAGGAACAGGCGGGAAGGAGAAAAGCGAAGGAAGCGGCTGAACTCCTCAATAAAGAGGAGCCCCCCCAACGAGCGCCCCCCAAGACCCCCGCGCCGCCCCTCACCTCGTCCGTGTCCCGGAGGGGGATCTCGATCGAGCCGCGAGACATGGCGGCAGCGGGCACCGCGTCCCCAGGGTCCGCCTCAGCCGAGCAACTTCACACGACGCCTCCGGCTCGTTCTCGGCGAGGTGCCTCCGCGTTCCGCTCTCTCGGGAGCAGGTCCCGTCGCCGTCCGGGTCCGCGCAGCCGCTTCCAGGCCTCGACCTCGGAAGTGCTCGTAGGGAAGGGCGTGGAGAAGGAGAGGAGAAGGCGGCGCCACTGTCGTCGTCGTCTGTGGCTCCCGCCTCTGTTGCTCCGCCGCCTTCGCTCTCCCCGGCCTTCTCCTGCAGGGGGCAGCGGACCACGAGAGCGGGCGCCGAAAAGAGCGGCCTACCTGGGAACGGGCCCTCCTCCTCCTCAGTAACATAAACGCCTTTAAAAAAAAAGAAAAAGGCCGAATCCGCTCGTTATGCAGAACGGAGAGGCGGAATTCTGGACCACTTCCCTCGGACCGAGGAATAATGTCGGAATGCCTCCGTGTAAAGGAAAAAACAGAAGCAAAACACGCACACTTATGTTGAATCGAGTGAATTAGGTCACGGATTTTATAGCATAGCCCGTTCCCTGAGGCGCCGGTTGGTTTCACACAAGGGGATTATAAAGTCGGGGAAGAGTAAAAGTTTGCGCCGCATTTTGCAGCCTAGAATTCCTTACCAGCACATTCTGCACAATTTGCTAAAAGAAAACGGCCGGCAGCATGGCTTGAGGCATGCCCGGAGACTGAAGTGCTTATAATGTTATTTAAAAGAAGCAGCAGCAGTTCATAGTGCAACCAAATGCGTGTCTCCCCACAAATAAGCCCTACTGAATTCAATAGGGGTTACTCCCAGAAAAGTAGACGTTCAGCTGAATTCAATGGGGTTTACTTAGGAGTAGGCATACCTATAATTGCACTTTGTTCTCTTGAGCAGGGTAGAAGATGCAGCTTGGCATTAGTACAGGTACAAACACAGGGGTGCAAACTGTCAGCCTGCTCATTTTCTTTCACACAACCTAAACACATACTGCTAAATCACATACTGCTAAATCTGTTGACGTTGCACCCAAATTCACTGCCTGAACATTATTTACAATTAAAAAATGAGCTATGGTCAACTTACTAAACCTCCTATTTCCAAAGCAGATGTAGGACAGACCAAATGAACAGAACATGCAAGAGAGCCTTCATCAATGTATGTTGTGTGTGTGTGTGTGTGTACTGACTGATCCTTGTTGAAGAATAAAAGTGTTTCATATACTTAAAAGTAGTATTATCTCCAAAATGTTGGAACAGGAACTAACCCAGGGTTTGTGCTTCGTTTGGAAATGAGACACAGCGGAGATGTCTTTATGATCTATGGCTTGTTTGCAACCTGAACCTACAGTAAAAGGGTTCAAAGCATTAAGTTCCAAGCGGGTACTCTTTCTCTCGTGGCAGTGGATCCAAACTGCCAGATCCCACCAACGCATTCTTCCTCCAGCTTGCAAAAAAACGCAACTATCTTTATTTCAAGCTCTGCTTTTTGTCTCTGCCAACTCGCAGCTCAGGGTGGGACTCCATGCATGGTTACATGTATGTTAAATACTTGTTATGTTAAATACTTTGAATACAGTACAGTACTCTAAAGACTAATGGAGGTGCTAAGTATTATTATTATTATTATTATTATTATGTTTCAGTGAAGTTCGTGTTATAGGACAGACACAAATTAGAAAACATCTCTTTGAATCTGTAGTTCACTAAACATGAATTACACATCAAGTATTTCTTCACAAGGCATGCTGTTATCAGGTAAGAGTCTTACTTCACAACTGAATAGCTGCTGTTTTCCTGAGCTTACATGCAGTGAAAGCAGCAATCCCTCTTGCTGTTCTGGCTTCTGCGATAGCTGCGCAGACTGCATTCGCTCCATAAGACGCATGCACACATTTCCCCTTACTTTTTAGGAGGGAAAAAGTGAGTCTTATAGAGCAAAAAATACGGTAGATAAGCACTTGGTGGTAAATCAGGGTGGAGAGACTGCGGCCCTCCAAGTGTTTCTGGACTGCAATACAAGAATCACAGTCCAACATCATCTACTGTTGGAAATTGTAGTCCATCCATATCTGTAGGGCCATCACTATGCTAAATAAATAATTCTTTAATAAATTATCACCTGAAATTAATATAATTTTTAATTGCTGCTCAGGGGAGCTGAACCATCTCCACCTACAGCAGCTACATCATGCTTCCCGGTGTGGAGTGAACACAGCAGGATGAACATAGAGAAAATGTGTGATATCCCTAATTAGTATGGAAATGCAATTGCAATTCTGTTTGTAGAAGAGAGCAATGATTTATTCACTCCTAGGAACCACCTGTTTGGAAACAGTCAGTGTTTACATAGTTTAGTCCTCTGTTTCCAGTAGTAAAAGCATTTTTTCTGCCTATATGCTGTTCAGGATGTTCATTTCAGTGTGCTCAATTTGTCTCTGGTTTTGGAAGTGCTAATACTTATAGATTTGGTTCTTGGATCTGGTCCTAAACGTTACGTATGTAGGATTACAACACATGCTTCAGCAGAGCCAGTTAATATTACAAAATCTCTTTTCACAAACTGCCATTGTAATGCGTTAAGCTCTAAGCCCTCTAAGGTTCAGGTTAAGTACTAAGGGAACTAATGAGCATCAGGTTTTAAGTTCTGTACCTTTGTGGGAACTTGACAGCTTACACAACCATTGGCTTTGATAGAATTGTAAATTCATACCTTCTTCTGAGAGAAGGCTGATAGGGAGATTGTTCTTAGGCATACAGTTTCTTGAAAATGTAATCTACAGTTTTGTTTTTTAAGTGCTTTTTAAGTATCCTATCTTTCCACACCACTTTCATTTTAGGAAATGCCAGCTCTTTAGTTGATGAATTTGTAGCAAACAACATGCCACTCTCTGCTAATTGCTTGGAAGATGATTTAATCAACATTGCTTTTGAAGTTTGCAACACTAAAGAAACAGGTACGTTTGATGCTTTTCTAGATCTTATTCCTATGAGCAATTGGGTGTGTAGAGTCAGTGAAAGTTTGTACATTTATTTGTAACTTTTCAATAAAACTTATCCAGCCTTTCCTTATAATGCTTGCAATGTAAAATCTATGAAAATCACTGCTTCTTCCCTGCCCCTCTGCTTTTTAAATAACAGAAGGTGTACCTGCATATGCTTTTATAAAGTATTTGGAGGATATGACTGGGCATAGCCTTGAGAATGGTAAACTGCTCACGCTCTACAACATGCTGGACCCGAAAAGGCAAAATGTTCTTGTTGACAGAGAAACATTTCATGAAACTATGAAAGAATGGATAGCCATATGCTGTCAAGATTGGTAAGTGAAAGTCCATTTTACTCTTCTCTGCTTTCCCATTGGCTTTAATTGAGATACAATTTGATATAATTTCTAAAATGCAGAAGCAGTGGCAACAAGGCTTCTATTTCTTGTACTCTGTTCTTCATTCTTGGTCTCTGACCGCTTTGGGGCAAAGCTGGAAGCCTGCATAGTCTACAGGGTGGGTAATGGGACCAGAAGTAGAATGGTAAAGCTATTGCTCATTACGTTGTTTCCCACTGCCCAAGCCCCTTTATGCACACACCTTAAGTAGTGGAGCTACATGTTATGAAGCACATGGGTTACTTAAGATTCCCTTAAGATTTACTTTTAAACTGCAGTTACAAATGTACAGGATAATGTATTTGCATTGTAACTGTAATATGGGGGCAGAAAAATTGCAGAGGAGAATTGCTGAAGAGCACACCTGGTTCCTCAAAAATGCCACAGTTTTGGCTAGTTTTCCTAAGATGGCTTTCTTCCAACTGGGCTCTGACTCCAGAATAAGTCTTAACTGTAAGGGAAAATAGCCTGGGATGGTGGCGGAGGGGGGTGTTTGTATTTGAGAAAGTGGAAACTGATAAAAGAACTGTTGAGCACTGCCTCCCTGCCTACAAGTTCTTTCCCGCAAATCACCTCAGTCTCTACATTCAGGTTAATCAGCAGTTGTGTGTTTGGGAAACTGTTTTATAAGACATGGGTTCTGATATGATATTTATTTCATTTATTGTCTTTTTCTTTAGTATAGTTTTTTTTGGGGGGAGGTCTATTAAGGACACATTTTGCTTATGAAAGACACACGTGGAGAGGGAGACAATAGGGGTTGGATGGTGTATAGTACAACCAGGACTTTTTTTGCACCTGGAGCTTAGTTCTGGCAACCCTCAGGTGGGTGCCATTGCCATTATAAGAGAACCTCTTTTCTAGAAAAATCGCACTGAGTACAACTCTGAGGTAGAATTCTTTGATTCTGTTTTGTTCCCTGCTGTTGACTTTCAGACTCATGTACTGTATGATTCCCAAACACTCAGGTATGAAAAATTGGATTGATTGTTGCCTAGGGAGACAAACAGAGGAGTAATTTTATAGATAACATGGGCATTCTGTCTCTCCATATATTACCTCTCTGTTCTGCTGGATATAAATAAAGATGAGGCTGAAGCCAAATGTTCTCCTCTTAATTTTTTGACTTCACTATTAAGGTGACTGGGAAATGCATCCCTAATATAGTGCTGACAACTAAAACTGGAAATTCTTACTGTCAATTTCTGCTTAGCCTTTATCGCTAGCTATTTGTGGAGAAGATCTCAAGCACTTAGAGACAGTTTGAAGTGCAATCCCTAGATCATTGTTAATACAAATAAGATTTTGGTCAAAATATTACTTCACAATATTTTATCACATTAATTCAGGGTTTCTCTGTGAATGATATAGCTTATGCTTAATATAATGAAGTTGTTTGCATAAATTCAGTAAAAGAATTTTGCAAGTTCTTGAAAAATCAACCTTACCATTACCAAATGTCTTCAGACGGTTTAATAACAGCTTTTTTTTTTTAACCTAGCATTTCAGAAACAGAAGTTTCTACTATCACTAACAGAAATTTGCATTGCAATGGTGAGTAGGTGGATGGCTTACTTCTCCAGTCATGCATTATTCTTCACAGATGTGGATGCTATTTCTGCTAAAAGCAGAATCAATCATGACTTATCTCACTGACTACTATGGATGCAGTGTTTGTGTCAGGTCCTGTGGTACCTCGGATTATAGACGCTTCAGGTTACAGACTCCGCTAACCCAGAAATAGTACCTAGGGTTAAGAACTTTGCTTCAGGATGAGAACAGAAATTGCGTGGTGGCGGTGCGGCGGCAGCGGGAGTCCCCATTAGCTAAAGTGGTACCTCAGGTTAAGAACAGTTTCAGGTTAAGAATGGACCTCCAGAACAAATTAAGTTCTTAACCCGAGGTACCACTGTATCTGGAACTGGTCTTGTGGGCTTTCCTGGGAAATTTGCAATCAAATTACCCAGGAGAAGCTGTAAGCCTATAAAGGACAATTGCCACTACTACTGTCATTAACTTGAAGGGCATTACCCAGCACAATTTTGATCTAGTGAATGTGGATAGAATGGGGGTGTGGTGGACAGAATGTTGAATGTAGATCTGGATTCAGTTCCTCATTAAGTCTTACTCAGTGGCCTAAGCTACTTCAGAGGATTGTAGTGAGGTTAAAATGGGATAACATCGAAGTGCACCTTCTGTTTTTCATGCAATGATTGTATTGGATTTTTATTTAAAGAAAATTAGATACGCTTAAGCTCAGCTGCCTCAAGTATGCCTAACACTTGCATTATGGCCAACATCTACACATTCATTTTATGTGCCTACTTCTCACATGTTTGTGTTACAGTGTTCCCAAAACCTAGCTTGAAACAACCAATGCCGCCAACACAATGTCAATACGTATTGCAAAGCAACATTTAATACAACACCCTTTTCCCCCTTGTACAGATATGATGTCCTTCTTATCTGATGAAGATGCTGACATATATGAAGGAAGACCTGGAGATTCTGAAATGGACATTTCCAAGTAATGTTTATGAATATGAAAGTTGAAGGAATTCAGCTGTGTACATTGCGTGGTGTTGCTGTTTACATTGCAAGAGGGGCAACACCATTGCCTCTTTCAAGGCAGTGGGCATAACTCAAGGCCCTTCTATTAGATTTTATCAGCTATGATGGGTGTGGTCAAAAGGACATGTTGTTGACCTCACCACCACAATCCTGTCCACGTCCTTGGCTGAAACAACTGAATCCTACTAGGTATAATTTGATGGTGGTCCAGGGACCTCCAGTGGACCTGAACTAACTGTGGCATCAAGTTTAGCAGAGATCTGGGTGATTTTGCCCATAAAGTGGTTCACAAATCTCTCACAGCAGGCTACTGACTGGTGGTTTTTTTTGGGGGGGGGGGTTGGTCAATGATAGCACTCTGGTCTGGACCAGCTGGTTTACCACTCTAAACAGTGAATTGCTGGGCAATTTACTGAGGATGTTACAGAGGCAGAGTATTAGACCCCTGCAGGGAGGTTGAGTCATAGCCAATCCGAACTTCACTAGTGAAGGATATGCCCATGACAGTGGGGCAATAGTCACCCACTGATTTTTCTCAGTTCGCTCTGTAGCAACAACCTAGGACATTATCTGTGGTATGCATTGGGTGCATGATGTATTGAGACAGCACCATGGTTGCCATGGCTGCCAGGAAGTCCTAAAGTGGCCCACATAGGGCAGCATCAACATAGATACTGATGACCCTCAGAACTAATGTCCTGGGATTCTCCAACATTACCCCTCCACCATCTCAGTGAGGGAAGTTGTAGGGCTGCAAGGCAGATGGTACTCCAACTAGAACACTGTTCTGTGTCTGGCTCCCAGCACCAAGTACAAACTATCACACCCAGGTCCCAGATGGTCTGGCCTTCTGGTGAGAATGATGGGATTCTTATGGATCACTGCCATGCCCCTCCCTATCCCTCCAACCTTAACTGGCATGGCACTGAATAACCAGGCATGCAAAGCTAGGTAAAGTCAGTCCTACCTCCCCAGGTCTCTGTAACACACCAGATTGGGCACCTCACCCATGATCAAATAATGGATGAGAATTGTTTTATTAGACTGACCTGGCATTAAGTAATACTGGATGGGAGGGCAGGCCAGCATGCTACCCAAGTCTGTGTTGGGGGAAGGCTGAGCAAGGCAACAGGTGTCAAGCATCTACTCCCTACTTTTCTATGACAATATTGCCTATTCCCTGTTCCATTCCTCCCACACCCCAGGACCTTAGCAATAGCTGCTTCCTGAATCTTCCTCACCTTCTGTCTCTGCTAAAGGCACATAATGCTGTTGCTTGTTTTTTCCTTTGCCCCAAGGCCACTGTTCAACATCAGTGGGAGAGCTCAGTATCATATTACCACCCACCGAGCATCCTGCGTATGTACCCTCTAATGGTTTCCATGTTCTCACCAGATTGCCATTCCCCAGTAGTCTATCTCTCACCAAGAGGCTGGGTTAGGCACATACACATCTGACAAGTTTTTCCTGGCTCTTGCCCAGGAATCAATCCAATCAGTAATCAAACATTTTGCAGGGTTAATGCAAAGGCTTGGACAAGCAAGTATTAACATGATTATTCCTCAGGTTCTGTTCATGTCATCCCAGTTAGGAGGGGCACACTGGATCAGGGTGGGTGGATATTAAGTACACATTAGATTAGCACTTAATGACTTGTAAACCTGCCAAAGGTTATAAACTGAGGAAAAGGTGTCTTAATACTAAAGGCCTACATTTTAATTTATTAAGGGCTTTCGACTTAAACAGCAGCGTTGAAGACTTAAAATACATGAATCAGAAAATGACTGCACAATTACTGGGAATGCAGAAAGTAATGGAGTTGTCTGAGGAATCCTATCTGCAATTGACAGATGATATTGTAGAGCTGAGAGACAGACTGGCAAGGTATTATTTTCTAAGTGTGTGTGTATATATACTCTCTCCTTTTCTCATTTTTGGAAGCACTGTTTGAAAGCATGTTATTATGACTGCGCTGCCAGTGTACAGAAAGGTCAACTCACAGATCCAACTTCATGAGTGGATCGCTTTAAGAGAAATATTTAGATAGATTGGTGGGCGGGTAAGAAACAGGACCAACCTGACACAGCCTGTTCTTCTGATCAATACTCACATGTAGTTTAAAAACCAACAAGTCTAGGTGGTGCTGGGCTCCATTTTCCAAAGCAGTGCCTTTTCTGACTTTATAAGTAGTCAGTATTAATGTTCTATTTAGTTTGCAACCTGTTCCCATGCATGTTTAACTGGAGGTTTCTCCAAGTAGGTTCTGTGGGAGTTTCCAGGCAAGTGGCCATGTTGGGAATTTCGTAAAGATGCTGTTGGGTGTGTAGCATAATACCAAATGGATGCTTTGGGAGTAAGGCATAATGGCTGCCACATCTAAAGGAGCAAAAAATTTAAAAAGAACACAACCACAAAATGCTGCAGCCATGCCCCTCTCCCATTATCCCTTCCTCAGTGGTAGAAAAATGCACCTGTATCAGCTGCCACTGTGCTTGCTCACAGAGAGAAGTTATTTTCACTTCTCCTCTGTTCAGAACAGATGTGAGGCTGGGTGTCCAATCCTGGCATCCAATGAAATGTGGGCATGTTTGAAGGGCATTCAGGACAGTAGAGACTGAGCTAGTGAAAACAGGAACTGAGTGGGAACCTTATTGTGGCTTTTTGAAGCAATGTTTACCAGGACCTTCTGTGGGTGCTATACTGGTGGGACAACCCTGATGTAACTTGTTGGTTCATCTTTTTTTTTACTGCTTTTGTGCCTTGTCCTGCTTGTGAACTTTGCTGCTGCTTAAGAGCTTTCTAAAGACTCTACTGAAATGTATATAACCTTTTTTTTTTAAAGCATGCAGAAGCCTTTAGAAAACTACAAATACATATGGCGTGAACTTGAAGACACCAAGAATAAAATGGCAAGCTTGCATGAAGAGAATGGTGTGATCCGTAAATGTGTCGCAAGTCTGGTATTTAACAGCTCATTTTTTACTGAGGTTGCTGCTTTGAGAGAGATAATGAATTCATTAGTAGTTGACATTTTGACCCTAATATGTTCAGAACTTTATTTTATTTTTAAATGGTCTTGCCAATAATCTGAACATCATCAAGTATAAATTCAAAAAACGCTATTTTTCAAACTCATGCGTTGTTCACATGCACTTTGATCCTGATATCTGGAATTGGCTGCCAATGACTCCCTGCTAGTTGTATGCTTTGCAGTAAACCCAAGTTTGCTGCTATGTAATGAGTGAAATGACTGTGGGTTTGAATGTAGGGTGCTTCAAATGATTTGAAGGTAATCTGGCCTTTTACCCACTGTCCATGAGCATCCATGTATTGGTGTTTTTATGGGTACTTTATTGTGCTTGAGAGCCAAGGCTTAAGAAACCAGATTGCAGAAAGGCCTTTGGACAAGCCCGAGACCCTTACCATATAATTTATGGTGCCTTCAAACCCAGAAGCCAGCCATTGTGAGTGGCATTTTGAGCCCCTTACACTTGAGGCCAAGTGTTGTTCACTCTGGCTTATCCATCATGCTTATACAACCACCAGACTAGCTGCCGGGGCCTACAAGGGCAGCTTCTACTGTGGATAAAGTACGGTAGATGGGTCCAGACGCTTGCACAAATACTTCAAAGCCACCAAGAGGGCAAATCTTAATATAGTGCCCAGCAAATTGTAGCATGCAGCTGCAAGACATCACTATTGCGGGTGGAGTGTGTGTGTCCTATGCTTCAGTGTGTACACACAGTTTGTGTAGCACTTTAATATACCTCTCACACACTCATGAAAACGGATTTTCTAATGAAACCAGTGGTAATAACAAAAGGGCTATATTTTCTCAACCAGCCCTGTCCATGATTGGCTACATTGTCATTTTTCCAGCCTTAAATTCAATAGTGCAGACAGACCCATCCATTCCTTACCTCCACATAAGCTTTGTGTAAGCAAATGCTCAATAAGTAATTTATCTGGAAGGGCCCTGAGTCTCCCTACCCCCTAATGCGTTTTCATGCACTTCCTCATTTCTTAAAACAGAAAGAAAATGTGAAGTCCCTTGGTATAAAACTTGTTTCGCTCGAGGAGGTAAGTGCAAGGTTTCTATTTATTAATAAAACAGCTTTAAGAAGATACATATCTTAATGAAAAACTCTGCCTATGTGGAGGTCTTTTGTTTTTAGTAGCAATAAAATTTGCCCATGGGGCATATGTACAAAGCTCCTTGCATCGAGTCAGACAAATGGTCCATCTAGCTCACCATTGTTTACACTGACTGGCAGCAGCTCTCCAGGCTTCTGACAGAGGTCTTTCACTGGGAGATGCCAGGGATTGAAGCAGATAAAAAAGGTAAAGGTACCCCTGCCCATACGGGCCAGTCTTGACAGACTCTGGGGTTGTGCGCCCAACTCACTTAAGAGGCCAGGGGCCAGCGCTGTCCGGAGACACTTCCGGGTCACGTGGCCAGCGTGACAAAGCTGCATCTGGCGAGCCAGCGCAGCACACGGAAACGCCGTTTACCTTCCCGCCAATAAGCGGTCCCTATTTATCTACTTGCACCCGGAGGTGCTTTCGAACTGCTAGGTTGGCAGGCGCTGGGACCAAGCAATGGGAGCGCACCCCGCTACGGGGATTCAAACCGCCGACCTTTCGATCGGCAAGCCCTAGGCGCTGAGGCTTTTACCCACAGCGCCACCCGCGTCCCATTGAAGCAGATACTCTGCCACTAATCTACGACTCTCCTGAAAAAACATCTAATATTAAAGGGGGGGGCTAAAGGGGGGGCTTCTAGAATATACAGTATAACACAAACCATCTCATGGGGGATTGCAACTGAATTCTCTGTTAGAAACAATAAATCCATTTACACATGTCTGCATCCTTTGTATTGTGAAGAATATACAAATTAACATATAATCCTTTTAGTAATTTGCACTAATCTATCTCTTTGGCATTAGAATGCAAAAGCCCATGAGGAAAGAAATACTTCTGTGTTTGAAGCATTATTGTTTCTGCGTTCAAGGGAACACTTTAAGAACTTTTTACAGGAAATAGTCTCTCAGAAGGATAGCATGTTTCAAGCCCTGATAGAAGAAATTGTAAGTAGTTCTATTACTGAATGTTTATTCTGGTGTTTCATATGTGGAGACTGTCAAGAAGTAAAAATGTTCAAACTCCCACCTCCTCTGCCTAACTAGGCTCAAACCTTTAATCTCTCATTCACCTCTTTTCTTAAAGGGCAGAATAACAAAGGGATTACTAAATATAGAACAGGCTTCCTCAAACTCAGCCCTCCAGATGTTTTTGAGACTACAATTCACATCATCCCTGCCCACTGGTCCTGCTAGCTAGGGATCATGGAAGTTGTAGGCCAAAAACATCTGGAGGGCCAAGTTTGAGGAAGCCTGATATAGAATGTGTGTATGCCACAGTGGACTTCCAGGTAGGAGTTTATTGTAGGATTGGTGTTTTTTTATGGACGTATATTTTTCACAGCATTCACTCAACATCATTGACATCAAAATGTCAGTTTATTCACTCCTCCTGCCTTTTAATCTGGATTTACACTTCCTATGGAAAATCTTGTTACCAAGAATCTATTTGCAATATCTGAACAAGCTATTTGCAGTATGAAGCCCCATCTGGAAGCAACCACGGTGATGTCTGTATTGAATCAAGATTTGCCTTGAATGTAAAGCAAACAAATACATTATATTTGTACAAAAATAATAAATGTGAACTAGATAATGTGTCAGAAGAGGGCAGTATTCAATTATACAATCAGAGTAGAAGCTAGTTAAGTAAAAGGTATGTGCCTTTTTGGTTATTTTCTAAGACTTTAACCTTATGGGATTGTAAAGTCTAATTTTATGACCTGTAGTTCTGATTAAACCTAGGCTGCACTTGGTCTTACAGTTATTCATGAGTCTTGTTACAGCTGATAAATTATAATCACAGGACTAAGGACTCTGTGATATGTTTCAACACCTGAAAGCATCTTTTGTTCTGTAGTTTTCTCCTGTCAAACATCTGTATCCTTATCTTTCTAGGAGCTGAAACAGAAAATGGATCACTCGCTAGTAACTGTATTACAGACATTGGCCAACTTATGCCCATTCATTGAAACTTGGAACAAAGTCCTAAAAAGATTAGAAACATTTCTGGAAGGGCCACAACTTTGGATGAAATCACCTTGGTATGCTTTGTTTTTCCTTAAATCGAGAGGCAGCAATCTTAAGCATACTTAACTTGGAAATAAATCCTTCTGACATTAAATGGACTTGCTTCAGGGTAACATAGATGAGCCTTGGCTGCCAGATTTTTGTACAGGAGCAAACAATGACATAATCAACAAGAGTTCAGCTGCAAAGTGAAAAAAACATTTTTGAGGCCAAATTGTGAGTGGGATGTCTGTCATGAGCTGACTGTAAATTGTCTTTTTGTGTTGGAAAATCCAATTGTTTGACTCCACCCGAAATGAAGTATGGGGGGGGGGGAATCCTTAAATCTCTCATGTTAATCTCCACTCCCTCTTTGATTGTCAAAGCTTGAACTTTTGTTCTGTCCTAGGATAAGTGTCTAGTAGACAACCAGATGTCACCTGGTAGACAGTTTTTAGAAGGCTAGTGGCAAGAAGCAGTTGTGGATGCCAAGGATAATATCACTTAGGTGTGCCACAAGGTTGCCAAAATTGCTCAGGTGGAGATTTGTAGGGTTGCTGCTGGTGGCATCCGTCAGTCTCAAGGGACAATGGAGTGCGCCTCTGGGGGTGAAGTCAATTTGCTACATTAGCAGCACCAAAGTGACCTCCCTGGGATGCAAGTCTGAGCAGTGTGTTTGGAGGTCCACTCTGGAATGGTAAAATCTGGGACATTTGAAAGCCACAGGAACTAAGTTTCCTTCAGAACCAGAAGAGCACCTCAGGATGATTTGCAAGGCAATGGTGGCGGGGGGGACGGGAGACCACAGGGCTAAAGTTAACTAAAATGAATCCCTGAATGAGGGCAAGATTGGTAATTCTCTTGGGGGATTGGGGGATTTATGGTAAGAAAATCATCCTGGAAGCTGTAAAAACGGAGGGTCATCAGAAGTAGTTAGGGTTTCATCCATTTAATCCTAGCCATGTCTACCAAGAAGTAAGTCCTCCTGAATTCAGTGGGGCTTCCTGCTAGGTAAGCAGTTAGGATTGTAGCCCTAGTTGTTCATTTTGAACAGGAAGTCACATATTTACATTATATTGCATTTATAGAACATAAAAAATAAATGGAAAAGCTATATCTAATGTAAGTTAGCCTGAGTGGAAGCCAGAGGGTTTCGGGTGGTGTTTTTTTAGTGTTTGAAGGCTATGATTTAGCCAAAATGGCATTTAACTCACTCCAGTTTCTCTAAGGCTTAGATAAATGTCAGCTATTTATAACTCCTAAATTTCAAAATAAAACATAATACTGTTTTAAAGATTTCAAGGCACATCTTTATAATACTTTGCTTAGCGATGTTTGTTTCTTTTTTTTAAAAAAAAGAATTTAACCTTTTGGTACCTAACAAAAATAGGAAGGGGAAAGGACACTAACAATAGTGAAAAGATAAATCCTGCCATCTGGGAACATCTAATCTCATGTATACATTTCACTTTCTTTAGTGGGATTGTGTTATTATCTGTGTTATGGTTTAGTTAGTGTTTAGAGAGTCTTGCATCTTTGTTTAGCGCTGGGCAAAATAAAATGGGAAAGTGAATCCTTGTTCTAAATATAACCAGGAGGCAAGTTAATAAATCAAGGTTGAATGGAGTGCACAGCCCACAGTATTAAGAGGCCATGTTTTTAAATGAGGAATTCCTTCTGTGCAAAGAATAGTCATGTGCCCATTGGAATTCCCACAGCACTAAGACAAAGGCAACTCTCTTGGCTGGAAAACATAATGGTAATATTGGTTCAGAAGCCAATGGTATCTCAACTGAATATGGGCAGCTGGCAAGTTTTATTAAATATACATAAGGAAACAACAACAACAAAAATCCTAATCTTTATTGCCCCCCTTTATTTTATAGCCTTAATGTTGAACTTCATGAGGAGGAGGAATTGGGTGAAACAAATGAACAGTTGGAACAAAGCACGCTTGAAGCAGAGTTTCAAGCTTCCACAAACTATATGATGAATTGTGACAGTTGCTGCATTGAGAGAGCGAACACCAGAACTTCCAAAGAGTACCATGGAGCCAATCTAAGCAAAAAAGCTTTGCAAAATGTAAATGCAATCACTTTCAGCAGTCAAACGTTAACACAAACTCCAGAAAAAGACCAAATATTGGTACAATGTCAGACCTGGAAAAAATTGTTAGGAGGGAAAAAATGGTGGAATCCAGAAGGAAGGCTGGAAGCCATTTTGGAAATTTCTAAGATACTTGCAAATGACAAGAATACTGTGTTAGATGAAAAAAAAGAGTCATGTAAAGAGGAACATAAAATTCAGCCAGAACAGAAGAAGGGAAACCTAGCTGCAGCTATAAAACTGAAAGAATTGGTTCTTAGAATTCCCAAAGATCTCTGTGAGGGTGTATCAGAAAGCAATGTGACAATTCTATACGCCCAACAGATGATAAAAGCACTTCAGCTGTGGATTTCTGAAGGGGAAGGAAACTTTCTGTTTCAGGAAAACTCAAAAGAAACAAAGGAGAATTTTCAAATGGACGAAAGGATGCCAAACTTCACTCAGGTAGTGTATGGAATGCAAAACTTAATATAATTTGAAGCTCAATGAGCATTATAATAGCTCATTTCTGTTGCCTTCATAGGAAGATTTCCCTGCTTCAGTGCACTTTATTATCCAAGCTTCAGTTAACAAGCAGCATGCTTACTGTACTCATTTAGCTCATTTAAGATTTTTAAAATCTGTACCCATAGACTTTCTATAATAGCTAAACAATTTTATTAAAATAGGTGACTACATGAGGGTCCTGAAAGCAACTCTGAAGCTATTTTGAGCAGATAGAAGGCAAAAGCAACCAAAGTGTGGGAATAATATCCAGTGTTAATCAGAGTAGACCTGCTACTACTACTAATAATAATTTCATTATTTATACCCCCAACGTTTGAGAGCCAAGACACATGCACGTATGAGCACAGCTTCATGGGATAGAGCTGGATAGCTCAGTTGGTTACAGCATGGTGCTGATAATGCCAAGGTGGCAGGTTTGATCCTGGGACAACTGCATATTCCTGTATTGTAGGGAGTTGGACTAGATGATCCTCAGGGTCCCCTCCAAATCTACAATTCTATGATCAATAGGAGTTCAGAAGGTTGTGGGAGAGAGGGACCAAAAAGGTCATGTGCGTTGTGTGAAGACATCCCCACCACATCTCTAATGGGAAAAAGACAGTGATTTGACCTTGCTGTGTTTTAAGCTGCTAATGTGAACATACAGTTTACTTCTTTTCAGACACTATATGCAAAGGGGAAACAGGGAGCAAGCTGAAGCATGCCCAGCCTCCTCACATTAATTATAAGGTCTGAAATAGCCTTCATATGTATGTTGTAGGTGTAGAGAGCACTGTCTACACATTTAGGAGTTCTCTGCAGGGTTTGGGCAGGAAGGGGTTGATGGAGCCCAAAGGATTTGTTTAAACTTCCTTCATTGTCCATGGTAAAGCGTGCCAGTTGGAGATTACTCAGGAGGACTGCACAGAGCTAATGCTTGGAAGATGGCACCAACAGGCCTCTTGCAGATTAATATTACAGGCATTTTGGATAGGGAGCATTTCTTTTTCATGGTTTTGGTTGCGCTTTTCATAGTTAGAGCATATGTTTTCTCATCTCTACAGGGATAATGCAGCTTTTAATATTCAGAACTAAAATATTGTGTTTATTCAGTTTGCAGAACCAACAAACTGTGAGGACTTCAATCACAGCAGTGACAGCATAACATTTTTTGGCATGAAAAATGAGCTACCCCATTGTTTTTCAATGGCTCAACAATGTTCAGCACATCAAGAAAACAACAATAAAATGAGTGGTAGGAGAAAACTTTCCCTAGAAAACACTAAACAGAGTGTTGTTTCCTCTCTCCCACTATGCAATTTGGCTAATAAACCTGGAAGTGTGTTATGAAATTGACTTTAAGTATTCAGCAAACATTGTATCCTATATACCAAACAGAAATAAATGACATTCCTCCTTAGGGTTCCTCCAGACACGCTATTCAGCATTCGTCTTGATGTGCTTGCTCAAAGCTTAAGTGTTAGTCTGTGTCTTTACTGAGCATTCATTCTGATTTGCTTATGAGATAGATATACAACATAGATAGATGGATATACAACATGAGATAGATATACAACGTCCTGATACGTTTGCAGTGAGGTTACACATCTTCCCATTGATAATTTGTTCTTCCCAGACTTTTCAGTGAATGTCCCTGTCACTTTCCTAACCGCAAAAAAAGGGGATTTATTGTGCTAGGGTGACAGAGCATTTCAAAGCTCTTTAATTGCACCAACCTATATTTCCAATTTGTTCCTGAATCCCTCCTGCAAAATAGTGACATTTGCCCCATTAATTTTTTTTGCCAAAAGCACACAGTTAAGACTGTCACTCCGTTTTATGTTTTTTCTCCTGCCAACTGGACGATCTCACCCTCTCATTACTTTACCTGATGTCATTATGTTTTAATTTACCCATCCCAACAACTCAAGTATTTGCCACTGGACTTGCGGGCAACTGCCAGCTTCCTATCCTCCCCCCACCCTTAAAAGTCTATCAAATATAGAGGATTCAAAGTTGCAGTTTTTGTTAGCAAATTTATTTGTATGCAGCATCTCCATGAGCATCATTCCTGATTATTTAAATTTCAGTTGCTGAGTAGGAAGATAAGTTAAACTGTTGCTAGGTATAATCAGACTGAATTGCCTGGAGTTGTTCTGATGGGTTATGGTTGCCAGGCTATTGTTGCCTGAGATAGAGAAAAACATATGCCACATCTATACGCTCGAACGAGGATGTTCAAGGCAAGGATGGCACTGTTTCTGCAAAGTTTCATTTTTGCCCTAGCATTTATTGTGTGGTTCAACTGTATCATTTTAATAAGTATCTAATAGTACTTCTCTGTTCTCTTTGTACGAGCAGATGAAAAATACTCTGAAATGGAAAAACCTGCATTGGTAATGAAAAACAGAAAACCTAGCAAGGTAAGGAAATGAGATTATAAGAACCTTTGGTATTTTATATTTGAAATTAAGCTATATTCATGTAGGAGTTGTTTCCTCTAATGGAACAACCTGCATTTCCAGGCAAACTGGGGTTACAGCATCCTACCTCATTCATTTCTTGGTGTAGTAGTTTTTAATGTATCTTAGAGCATTTCTTGGTATTGATAGTGAACAGGTATTCATTCATTCCTAGACTGAAACTAATTTATCCAATGCAATAACAACTATATTCATGACTTTCATAGTGAGATATTGAACAACATCATGATCAGCAAGCAGGTCTAGCTCTAGTAAGTGGAAGCTGTCTGGCAACCCTATTGTGCTATGTGGGTAAAGCTGGGTACAGATGTAATAAACTGGAATAAACTAACAGATTCTCCAAGCTTTATTGCCTTGCCAGATAGGTTTTTGTTGGCAATGGGTGGTTTGCAGAAATTACAAGTGTGTAGGTATTGACAAAATGAGGATATGTGTCTTTGGAAAATAAAATATAATAGTTAGCACTCTTGGTGCTTGGGAACCATTGCAATCATGGGTGTAGCCAGGATTTTTGTTGGGGGACGCAGGCATTTTGTGGGGGGGGGGGCAGAATCTCTGTTAGCTATGTATTTTTATTGATTTTTATTGGTTTAGGTGGGCAGCTGCCCCTCTCTGCCCCCCCCCCACCCGGCTATGGCCATGATTGCAATGCTATAAAGGAACATGAGGTGGATACCTGGCTGAAGCTTAAGGACACGTGGGCCTAGTCAGACCTAGATGGGAAACCACCTATGTGCTTTGTATGTTACCTTGGGATTTATAATGGAAAAAAGCGAGATGTAAAATACAAACTTTCCAAATCTCAAGGGAAAGAATTTTGCAGAGGAGAATAAGAAAACTGAAATAACTTTGGAAAGTTGCATGTAAGTATGAAGGCTGAGGTTGAACTGGAGGCAACAGTCCGAGATAGTTCCTAGGAGTAAGGAGTTGTGCCAGGAAATAGGGGTTGAGGGATAAAACCACGAATAAGGACTAGAAAACCACCAAAGAATACAAAATGCACCAAAGCTCAGGAAGACCGTGCTGCTTGGCCAAGGCCCAACTAGAACAGGGAGGCTCCTTCCTATCCAGGAAGAGATCATGGCCAGCCTGGGTGGGTGGAGTCAACTCAGGGCTTGAGAGTATTTCATTGTCTAAATAAATGCTGTAAATCGGCAGTTTGAGGACTTATTAGGCCAGCCACACACAGATCCAAGGACTTACATGTTTTCAGGTTCAAATTTAACATTATGCTAAATGTGTAGCTAGTGACTACACCTGATATTTTTCTTTATTTAAATACAGGCATGGTGGGGTGATTTTTCTGTGGGGACCACAGATGTGGGATGAGGAGGTTTAATCTTTCTATCGCAGTCACAATATGGACAAGAATCCCCCATCCCAAGCTACTAAAATTAGACAAATGAACTGGAACCTTTCTTAATACATCTGATGCTTAATACAGCTAGCCACACATTTAACATAACATAGAGTACCCTGAGTTGCATTAGCTGGAAAGAGAGAGAGATGGAAATGGATGCAATTCTGATTTAAGTACAGTTATGTTTTTAGGATCTTCCCCCATCCCCTCCTTCATCTAGACTAACTTGCTGCATGCCACATTATTTTGTTATAGTATATTCAGGGCACTGGGCAGAACCCTGTCAGTGGAAGCCCTGCATAAAGACTCCCACTTGTACAACAGGGCATTCCCACCCCCCACATCCTCCCCACCCCGCCTATCCCTGCACCTCCCAAAATTGGCTCTGGCAGTTCAGGAGAACCTCCAGAATAGTTTGCAGGGGGAGAGGACGTGGGATCATTCCATCTGGCAAGCTGATATGCCTATGCAGACAGAATGTTTGTCACAGTGCAGTGCTGAATTCCATCCACTAAATGTTGCCCATTTAATGTAGGATTATAGTGTGATGCAGTTTCATCGGCCTAGTTTGTTATACTCCCATACTTGTTGTCTACTTTAAAACAAATACAGTACTGTAATTCTAATTCAGTTACTCTGCTCTTATAAAATCTGACTGCAGAATTAACAAATAGTTGAACCAATTTCCAAATGATCCTTATTAAATAGCTTTTACTAAAGTAAAAGCATTCAGGACTCCTCACAATTGCATTTTTTTTTTAAGTTAGTTGTCGTTCCCCTTATTTTACTGGATTCATGAGCTGTGTGAAATAACTTTTTGTAGTTTAACAGTTTTGGTTTTTGATGGCATGTCTCTCTTCCTTGGGGAGTAAATTCTCTTGCTAATGAACGGAGAATAGTGTTCCCCAGGCCTCTCTTGACTTTTGACTAAGAATAACATCTGTCACTACCAAGAAGCTGTGTGTAAAATTAGAATTTCTCAGGGCAGATTGAGAACAAGATTTGTTTATGCCTTGTGCTTTTAAAATAGGATGACGTTGCAGAGCTTGCTTTATTGTTAGTGTGTGTGCTCTAGGCATCAATTGGAGAGAATGAGTATCTTCTACACCACCTATGGAAAAGAGGTTTCATTTATGGCTGCAAAAACTTTCAAATATAATACCTTGTAAGATCATTATTTGATTTCTTGGTGAGAAAATTTCTTTGGAATAAAATAACTCAAATGTATCTATAAGAACTAGGCCACGACCTGTACGAAATGAAATATTGCCCAAGAACATCTTTAAAACCTTATGCATGGCAAAAGCAGTACTGTATGTGACAAATACTTTATCCAGTCTTGGGGTACCCATGGCCAAAATGTACATGGCCAGACACTCTTCACTGTGTGGTAGAACATTGGTTTTCATACCACATTCATTATCGGTTGAAGCTGCAGTTGTGCACAGCAGGGCAGAAGCTTCAGTGGAATGTTGCGGAGGTAGTATTGTCTGCAGAAGTCCATTATCTTCCTTTCCTAGGTAGTATACATTTCACAACAAAGGGCTTGGGATGTGTGTTTTTTTTAAAACTGATTCTAGATATTTCTCTAAATCTATTTATTTACAATATGTATATTCACCTTTTAGGTGGACAATGGGCTTCCAAGTGAAAGGGTGCTGGTCCCTTATTAAGGCTCTTGGGGTGGAGGAGTGATGATAGGAAATAAAAACTGCTTCTAGTGTTATAACTAAGCAAACTTGCATGTGGAAATACTTCAATTTGCTCTTGGCACATTTTGTCATTTGTTTTGAAGGTATCATAGAGAGTTTGATACATGGTTCTATGAAACTGGACATCCCCTTTAGTCTTTAGTTTTTCTGTATTGGTGGGGTTTGATTCTGTTGCTCAAGAATGGCAAAATGCCCCCCCTCCATGTCAAACACTTTCCCAATCTATGTCTAAGCGAATTCAGATGAATAGACTGCCTAAGGGCAAGCACACTTGGTCTCTGGTAGCATGGTTGTTTGAAGTGCTGTTTTTCTAGAAAAAAAGGTGTCAGAACTCACCATGAACACTTCCCCTGTTCTCTTATAATGGCAATGACAGGGATGCATTCTGGCCCCCACATTGTTTTGCCTATTCTTAAATGACCTAGAAGCGAGCCTAATGGACTCAGACGGACACCTTCCAAAAATAGGAATAAGAAGGACCCCCTTCTTGTTATATGTGGATGATGCGGCCATCATTTCACGTTCCAGACCAGGTTTGAAATATCTGCTGAGGAAGTTTTCTGATTACTGTTTTGGAAATGGCTTATCCATTAATTACGAAAAATCAAAAATTTTAGTATTCAAAAGAAGCTTCTCCCGATTTAAATGGGTGCTGGATGGCCATAACCTTGAACAGATTAAATACTTCAGTTATCTAGGGCTCACTTTCCATCATACAAGATCTTGGAAGTACCACTGGCAAACCTCCCTTCAAAAGGCGGAGATCACAAAGCTAGCCATACTCAGATTCTTTTTCACAAAGGGTACGCCCCCAAAACTAGGTGCGCCCTATGGGCCGGTGCGCCCTATAGGGCGAAAAATACGGTATGTTCCAGCAAGTATGTTCCAGCAGCCTTAAGGGTTTTCAATGCAAAATCCGTTCCCCAACTCCTGTACACTGCAAATGTCTGGCATAATGGGGACCTGCCTAAGCTAAACAGCTTTCAGGCAAAATTTTTACGATCTCTGCTGCAGGTACCCAACTGTGTCCCCAACTCCATACTTCTGTTAGAAGCTGGCGAATGCCCAATTACAACTAAAGCATGGTGGGCTGCCCTAAAACATTGGCTCAGGATTGTAGTGTTTGATCTAGGGAAGGGTTTATATCAACACCTGACCAATGAGGAGTTTGTCAGCAATTGGCAGAAAACCATGGCTAGAAAAGCCACCTATGTTGTCACCCCCCCAACTCTATTACCTGTGTTATAATCACATGCAGTCTGTAGTCCATTGGCAGTAGGAGTACAATATGGGCATGTCTTTAAGTTAACACCTTACATTAAAAACCTGACAGTACCAAATTACCAAAGGTTATTCACCAAAGCCAGACTAAACCTTTTTCCTTCTGCGGTGTTGGATGGCAGGTTGAGAGGAGTTCCCTACCAGGACAGACTTTGCTTGTGTGCCCAAGACATCGATTCTATAAAACATATTTTGCTGCACTGTGCGAAACACGAGCAAGCCAGGGCTGAATTGATATTACCCTTGCTGGTACCTTTCCTGGGAAAATCAGAGGCTCACTATGTCAGGTTCCTACTGGAAGACCGGACAAACGCTAAAACAGCAGTGACGAAGTTATTATCAGTGGTTGCAAGAACCAATGATCCCTATCTTTAAGTCTGAACAAAACACTTGTTTAACCTGGTGGTAGGCTATCTGAATTATGTATTGCTTTGTAATGATTTGTTGGGTCTCTGGACCGTAATAAAGATTGATGTAATGGCAATGATGCCCACCTGAGAATTGCCGGAACTGAGTTCTGGTGAGTTCCGGCTGAAAAAAAAGCCCTGTTTGTATCATCCTTCTAAGCTGTGGGGAAGATTTGGCTT